TTCAAGTTGTCATATCATATTAACACAAAGTGATGGAATTGCCGAGCCAAACCTCATAGTTGTAGAAGGAGTAGAAGTATTTACAATGATGAAAAAGATTAGGGGTCAGAGATTTTATTCAAGAAGTATAGTTAAGTAAAATGATTTTAGAAAAAGAAAAAATTCGCTTAGAATTCAGATAATCAGAATTTGAGAAAAGATAACGAAAGGGTGCTCCTACGCCATTGCATATGATTCTAAACCATAGTATTTAGAGCCCCTAATCATCTGTTACTAATGTCTCGGTGTTATACTCGTCTCTAAGTACGCTTAAAACTATTACGGGGTCAGCTCAGTCGAATAACAAGAACAAAACAATCAAGCAGAGTCACTGTGGGCTACTGTGAACCGACTGTCCCAATCGTACCAGCAAGAAATCTTGATATAGCGTAGAAAGTGTATTCTACAAAGACAAAGCCCGCACACAGTGAATCCAAGCACATAAATCGCGTTTGTTTATACTCCGTAGAGACGTCCTTGGGACAGTCACAAAATAGCACACTAAAATGAAACAGTAACCAATCGCAGCGAAGGACTTCTTGGTAGGTCAACTTATCAGCCCATGAAATAAATTCGAAACAAAGATATTAATCAAGCAGATTCTGGGGATCTAACATCCCCAACACTGAGGGACCCTGAACAGGAAAACCTACTAACGTAGCTCAGTTTATTTGTTAGTGACTTCATGTATTTGTGCCATGTTTGGTTTGGCCACCTTTAGCTTTCTTCCAGCCCACCCCTATATCAGACGTCTCTCGTCGATTTAGTCGTATATGTAACAAATGTTCCAACCACCTGAACTGATGACGATTCAATGCCTTATCAATCAAGTTGCCATCCTTACCGGGTACATTTTTCCTAACCCTGGCATTATTTACTTGATAGTCTTAGGAAATACGAGCAATGTTCCGAAGATACGAATGATCGAATACTAGTAACCTACGAATATTCTCTGCTCTTACTGGTCTCGTTTCACGACCTTGAAGTAGGATGGAGAGCACTGATGGGCAACAAACCCATCCTTTGGTTGGTAGACAGATGTTTCGCCTATGCTACAAGTGAATAAAGTTGGCAAAAGCCAGTTTAGTCTTATGTATGCGTGCTGAGATTTCGTCAGACACCAGACCATCAGCACTGATGAGATTTTGAAGATACTTGAAGCAGTCGACACGCTCAGCTACTGCACTCCCTATCAGTAGTTTAGGTGCCGACGCAAGCCGATCCTGAAGTAACATTTGACGTTTTGAAAGGGAGAGTCGAATCCCGAACATGCTTGCATTGTTGTTTTAGGTGATCGGAAGAATGCATTTTGTCAGCATCTCCATCAAACAGAATCATACCATCTGCATAGTCTAAATCAACAAGTGAATCTCCTGGAAGAAGTTCAGTCCCTCAAAAGTCAAACGAGGAGTGCTATCCTTAAAAGCATGTCTATGACAAAGTTGAATTAGAATGGAGAGAGTGGACAACCTTGTCGAGCACCACGCAGTTCGCCATAAGCTCTCACTCGACCAGTAGTGTTCGTGCAGAGAGCTCGTATAATGTTAATATATTTCTTTGGTACCCATTTCAATGAAGACACTGCCACAAAACCTTACGACCAACGGAATTCTATGCTGGGGTACGAATAGGACATTTCTGGGTATTATTAGTTAGTCTACATCATACAGATTACCATGGAATCTTCAGTATTCTCTTAAAATCACATGTGTATCTGAGGAACAGTTGATAGTTGCTCAAAGTATTGCGCATATCATATTAAAAGTTCATTTTTCTTTCTAAGTTTCTCAATATTTCATAGAAATTTTCTTTATGTACTTAAAATTGACTGGTTGAGGATTTGTTGTATCATATGGCAAATACAAAACATAAATCAGAATTATGTTTAGCACCAGAAACGTTTCTATTGATATACAACTCGATAGCTTATTTCTATCAATCCTACATCCTAAGTCAAAAAGTCCATCGTTAGCCTCCACAAAATTTCTATATATATTTCAAGCAGAAACAGTTTATATTACCAAACATACTAGAACGCATTATGTCATAGAATGAGAAAATGCATTAACTAATGAGAAAGCTAAAGATTGATCGTGAATAGGGATTTTTATAAATGATCAATTTGTGAAAGATTAGGAGTAAGTAATTCGTATGAAATTAGTTGATGTGTCAATCTTGACCTTATAGCAGAAGGAATGTATTGATACAGTAATCTTATTATTTGATAATTATACACTCAGAATGTGTATAATAATAATAATGAACCATAAGTTATTGCTATGAGTTACCATTTCTCTCATTTTCTTCCGACTATAGCAGGATTTATTAGTAAAAACCTCTTCGTTACATCATACATTGGATATGATGAAAGGATAATAAAATATCCATCGGATTAGCGACTTTGTTTTTGAAATGTATTCAATTGAGAAAAAGTTCCTTTGTTTGTCAAAAAATCTTAAGCTGATTATAAAACATCGTGTAACAAGACTTGATATTACTTAAAACTTACTTAACAATATCAGGAATCTCAATCATTTCAAATCTTGTACCACATTGCCTTAAAAGGTCACTCACAGAAAGTCTGTTCACAAACACGATGATCATTTTCAGAAGTAGTGCATGAATTACTTATACTGTGTGAACTACTCAAACGTAAGCTGAGTTAATGTAACGAAACTAGTCTATCTTAGGGTAGTTATAAACCATATTGAAACATTGAACAATTCAATAAGCTACATAGAATCATTGCTTTTGTGTCATCATTATTTCTTGACAGTATTTGTATGTATTGTTCAATGGGAAACATGCATTTCAAAGTCATTTTCACAGTCATCGAAGTCTAGTAGTATAGTGGGGAGTTACCGCCAAATTCGATGATAATAAATCTTACTCTATTTCAAACTAACATAACTGGCGAACCAATGTAACTAATGTTTGAAATAAAAAGATGAATATTACAATCAATGTCATGTCTAGATCTAGATGTTTATTAATGTTAATTAACTTCAGACCTTGAATGTTATTTAGTCCTACAATCATATTTGATCGTCTGTTCCTTCTGATACATTACTCGGATTGAACTAAAAACAGAAGAATAAATCTCTAATGTATGTCTTTAGTGAACGAGAACACAGGTGGGGCAACCGGATTGGATTAAACGGAAATTACATAATTACTCAGTAAAATCGGAAAACCATATCGTAAATCGTTAATTTGCAAAATATCAGTTCATCATATCAAACTGGACTGTTCCTGTTGCAAAACATCAATCCATTGCCACTATTCATGCGTTTCATACAAATTCCATTGTGTTCTAAATCTTCCTTTCTTGATCTTCTCCCATCTTCTGCTACCAGACATTACGTTGACACTCACGTCATATACTACTTGTAAGTAGCTCGCACCACATGTCCAATTTTTTATTTTGTCAAGCTTCTCATGAAGCGATTTCGTAAACATTTTTGGCATATCGATTTAGAGGGATCTACTTCTTTTTTAAATCTGCATTCTCCTTACACGTCGAAACAGAATATTGACTACATACCTATAGGCTTTAATGTATTACGATTAAGTCACTTTTGAATCGTATTTTTATGCCCTTGGTCATTCAGTTATGTTTTTAAATAGTGCAAATGATGTGAACAAATGTTATAAGCTTAGTGGAATAAACAGAATCATAAGTGATAGGAAGAGCTGAAAACAGAATCAATAGTTTGTGTTAGTGCGATAAAAATCTTTTCAATCTGAATTTCACCTCATGTTCACTATATGGATTGGAATAAATCTTACTGGATGGTTTACTCTATGGGTAAATCAGTCAGAAAGAACCATTTAAGGTATTTTGCACCGTGATTTTGTGTTGGGGATGTTGGATCCCTAGAACTCGCTTGGTAAATATCTTTATTTCGGATTTATTTCATGGGCTGATCAGTTGACCTTGAGATCACATTTCCCACCAGGAGAATCCTTGACTGTGATTGGTAACTGTGTCATTATAATGTGCTATTTTGTGACTGTCCGAAGGACGTCTCTATATAGTATAAATAAACGCGATTTGTGTGCTTGGATTCATTGTGTGCTGGCTGAGTGTTTTTAGAATACACTTTCTACCCTATATCAAGACTTCTTGCTAGTACATTGGGGTCAAGGGATCATAGTAGCCTACTTGGACTCTGGTTGATTGTTTTGTTCTCGTTATTCGACTAAGGTGAACCCCGTAGTAGTCTTAAACATACTTAGAAACGAGTGTAACATTTTGTATTCCTGAAAGATAGTGGTATTTCCCTCCAAAGTTTGTCTTAAAGTGTTATGCAGCTCAATGAATACTGAAATTCTAGCGAGAGGATAGCAGTTGTATTTATTGTCAATTAGTGTATTATCAGTGTAAATTCATGTTGATCAGCGTTGTGTAATTCAATTAGTTATATCAGTAAGACAACATTGTACTACAACTTGGGAAATTCCTAACCAGATAATAAAACATTGTGTAGAAGGACTTGATGTTGCTTAAAATCTACCGAACAATATCAAGAATCTCATTCATTTCAAATCTCGTATTGCTATTTTGAGTGTTTGATTTCATATATATTCACTATATATTTCATACATGTATAATTATCAAAATTCCTCTTATATATATAGGACTGAGAAATTTGATTACTTTATCTATATAGTTATTGATCGTGCCATGAACTACTTTTATCTTCAACATATAAAAAATGAGTACATTTCTAGGAGTGAATGATGTCCTATACTACTCATATTTTAACCTAAAACATTCCCTTACAGTTTTTGTGAAAAAAAAGAACACTCAACTGCTCTTTCCGCTCTGTCAATGAGCATTACCAATTAAATATTCTCGAAAAATACTCGAAATTAATTGTGTGACCACTTATGTAAACAACAAGTGTTTAGTGTTTCGGTATAATATATATATATATATATATATATATATATATATATATATATATATATATATATATATTTGAAATCTTTGATCCTTTTTGGGAAAAAGTTAAACAAAAACTCAGACAGTTACATAATGCAATGTCAAGTTTAATGTTTAAGATTTTCCACCACCCGAAAATTTCTGTCTTAAAGCCATAATTGCTGGTGAAATATTAGACACTGATTTTGATCTCTTAACCATTGATTGATTTGATTGTGATAAAGTTTCATGACATATTGATGAAGATGTTGTTGTTGTTGTTACTGTATTCATTGATGATCCTGATGTCGATGTTACTTCACTAGACTGAACAACGCTACCTTTCAATGATTTTTCTGGTTCCAATGATTTGCCTTTTGATTTTTCTTGTGAATTAGCTTTTATATGACTTTTCTCTTTTTTTGTTGTTCTCATAAATAGATTTTCTCGAGATTTACTAATGGTTTTATCAACAGAATTATTACCATTAGTATTATTACTGTTATCTGATGTGTTCTCTTTAAAATCATTCAAAGAATTTGGTTCAACAGAATGAGCTTTATCAAGATGTTGTTTATTACTGGAACTATTAGACCAACGAGTAAAACGATTAGTGAAAGATAAACGTGAATGTGTTCCACCATTACTACTAGTCTTGTCAACAATATCAGTTAATTTGATTTGATTTGTATTATTCTGTTTTTGATGGCTATTGCTATCAATTGCAGTATGTGAATAATTAGCTTTACTGCTTTTATCCAAATTGATTTGATCATCATTTCTGTGTAATAAATCATTAGTACGTTTATTAGAAATAATTAAACTTGATGAACTATGTGCATCATTTTTCTCTTCAAAATTACCCAAACTTAATTGACTAGTTTTTATGGATTCATTGTGTAGCGTATTATGATGATTTATATGTTGTGATTGTTGTTTACTGTAATGGTGTAAATCAATTTCACTGGATTTATTCTCACGATTATCTTCAAAGAACATACGTCTTGCTGGTGATATAACACTTCTGATTGGTGGCTTACCTAGAAAAAAAAAAGTCAATCATATCAATCATTTGCGTAAATATGTGCAAATAAATTTATGAATCATGAATGGGGTAATCAAATGAACCGCCATTGATTGGTAGTAAATGTTTCAATCTAGTACTGACACCTAATTCTGGATTGAAGTTATAATTACAAAGAATCTTTTGATGAAGGCTGACAATATATGTTCAGTACTATTGTCTTTTCAATAATTCTTCAGTGAATATCAATCTGTAGGGAAAATAACTATTTTCAGTTAACAAATCTCTACATCATATCTTTAAATGTTCGATTGATAGACATTAAGAATTTCTAGTAGGAATGAATTAATCACAAGATTCAGTTATTGTAAAATAAACAATATGTCATCATTAGGTCATTGACAATTGATTTGGAATACTGAAAAATAAAGTGACTGTCATTATAATGGTAGGAAATGAAATGTAATAATTGAAAATCCTTAATTAACCTACGTTGGTGTTTTACGCTGAGTGATTCGGTTAAACTACTGTGATCGAAGATCTTATTGACAAATCTTGATCTTATTTGAAGGTTATATTAACCGAAAATTGATCACACTTAGGATACCGCTGAAAATTATTTGGCATTGGACAGCTGGTTCATCAAAGTATGTTAAATGGTTTTGACTGAGTGGTTTTAAATGTGTTGCGAATAAAATAGCTGTCATGAGATAGAATTTAAATATGCGCACTACTGAGAAGTCTTAAACTATGGAAAAATGGTTGTCCAATGCCTTATTGTTTTCAGTGGTAGTCCAGCTGAAATAAATCCGTGACCACTGCAACCTACAAATCAAGCCGGTTTCGTTTGAGTTAAATAACAATATTCAACGAACAGGACAATGATTTCCTCTTTCAATTATGGTCACCAAGTTGCGATTTAAAGATCGGCTTAGTGAGAAAATCAGCGCTAAGGTTTACTTACTTACTTATGTCTGTTAGCCAAGCATAGGCCACAGACCAGCATCCTCCAGCCTACGCTGTCGTGGGTCTACATTACCAGTTCTGCTAAATTTCTGTCCATCCTTTTCATATCTGTCTCCAATTATAGGCGTACTGTGTTCTCTGGCCTTCCTCCTTTCTAGTGACCTTCAGAACTACAGGTGAGGGCTTGTCTCGTGATGCAGTTAGGTGGTTTCCTCCAAGTTTTGGCCACATACGGTAGAGATATCTTGACATTTTATTGAAAATTGTGACATTTGTGTTTGCTGATAGTTGTTTTGAATTCCTCCCAGGGCAGATTTTAAATGGCTTGAATTATATTTTCCAGTTAGCGTTTTTTAGTGAGTTAGTTTTCTACGGGATGGGGTTGCCAACCTCAGGCTCAACCCTCCCCCCTCATCTGGGCTTGATACCGATGGTGTGAGACTAGGATACTAAGTAATATTTTTGTCACGTTTTAAGACATTTAAAAATGACTATTGTCATTTCAGTACACATTTAACGAAGTATAAACAATATAAATTTAATCATTCACTTATTACACCACAGTTTACTAGTAAATAGTCCTTTTTAAAACTATATTTTTTCCAGTTTACTGACAACTAACTTTCATTTGGGACTTATACAAGCTGAAGAAATAACTAATTGTTTATATCGTATTAAGAGTCAGAAAATATGCTACATATGTGGCGTAAATTCAATATCACTACTCTTACATACCTGGTAGTGTAAATGATCTTTGAGAATAATCTGTAATACTAGCCAAACTATCTTGTGAACCTTGTCTAGAAGTTGGACGAACTAGAAATCCAAGTGTCGGATCAGGATAGTTTGATATCTGAAATAAAAAAAGTACAAAAGCCACAGTGCATTTAGCTTGTTTAAGGTGCGATTGTTGCTTGGAAAACTTCATCATTACATGTCCGATAAACGAATGGTTTGGAAATGGACACGATGAAATATTGCACTGGTAAAAGGTTTCCTAATATATACCGTTAAATAAAACGTCACTGAAAGTCTACAAGAATCTTATTATGATATTATGAACTCGACCAGATAATAGGTAAACTGGAGGATTAGCAAATGTATTCAGTTAATCAGTCTAAAAAAATGGATATTATCCATTTGTCTAAACTTCACTGCTTCAGATCAGTCAATGGATGACAGTAATTTTCTTAGAAGATGACATTTTGCTATTTCTAACTTATTTATAATTAATTAGGTATGACTGCAATGATTTCACTGACACATCTAGCTTGCTTTGTATTCGACTAAGTTTACCTATTCTATGGTGTGATGCAGTTCAGTTTACCTGAACATAAATATTTATACGTTCGACATAATGGCGTTAACAGTAGAAACGTGACTGCTATCTTTCCTTATCTGGACTCGTTTGTTGAAGAAAAATGGCATATGAATTGGAAATTATGTTTATTTTAGCCTCAGATGAAGGTCGTTTCTGTCTCATTCACAAAATGATCCCTAATTACTTAGTTTCCGCACGCTTTCCATTGCTGTAAGTTTGAAATTCACCTTTTGATCACTCTACCAAGTGTACTGATTGAGTTTTCAGGAAAAGACGAAAGAGGCTCTGAGACAACTGTTTTGTTTCGATTAGTCAACAAACTTTCGATAAGTCTTAAACATTCAGCAAATTCGTAAAAACTGAAGGCTGTTATGTACCAATATAACATATTGAAGAAAACGATTTTTATTACTGAATGCAACAAAACTCTAAAATTGATGAGGACGAGAAAATTAAAGAGCTTAACTTCTGGTGATTGCCATAGATGTTTAGGACAATAAAAAAGTGAGTTATATGAGTGTATTAACACAAATAAGGACGGTATTTTGAAGAGGACATGAGAGATGTACTCTAAATTTTTACACCGACAGTCCTAGGTTCAATCCCTGCGTGCAGGACCGTCAGTGAGCACTACTAGTCCTGAATCTCATTCTAGGTCTTAACTAGCTATCTAAATAAGATCACTTTGTGATTTGAACAACGAAAATTATTTAATCACTGAGTGTTGGCGAATATCATGTTTATCAAGTCTCTGACTACGAAGCAAGTGATGTGAATTCTAATCCCTTCAAGATTACAACCAAAGCTGGTTGACGGGTGTTAAATAGCATGAAACTTAAGTCAGGCATAGTTTCTTAACACTTGAACCAGTAAATACATTGAAACCTAAAAGACAGAATATGATCAGCACTAAAAATGTTACTAGATATTACTCAGTTATCACATGATGTGAGTATCTGAGTCATTCCTTAATATAGCTCGTACACGTATGAAAAATATCAGGACGCACTGGTTTACTGTTTTGCCATCATATAAGACTTTCAAGCAGTTGGGACTGACGACTTTAACAACAGCTACACCCAGGACCTTCACCTAATGTGGTTAGCGCTTAATATTCAGACCTTTCTATTACCATCGAATGTTTTGAATGTCAAACTGAAATCGATAATGTATATTTAAAAAAATATTTACCTTTTTAACGGTTACTTCAGGCGAAACTGATCTACCACAACGACTATTAACCATTAAACTATAATTACTGCCTCCGCCTACTCCAGCGCTTGCTGCAAGACTTAATGCACTGCCACGAAAACCACTAATCATTGATGCACCATTTGTTGTGCCTAATCCATAATTCATCTCTTTGAAATTTAATCCAAATGGATGACCACTAGAAGATCCTATAGAATGTCCATGAAAACGACTATTTGTCCATTCCATCGACGTGGATCTTTGATTTGTTAATATTGATGATCCTTTAGGTAATAGACTTGGAGAGAATGGTGAAATTGTTGAATTGATCATTAAACTATTTTTTGATGATTGTGGTATCATTGGACTGTTTGTTGCACCGGTACTTAAACCAATACCTGATGTACTTTCAATGGATGATACAGAATCAAGCATTCTGTGTATGTGTGCGTGTAGATTGTGACGAAAAAAAACATAAACATATGAAAAATGATAATTACATTTGGAAGGTAGTGAAGAAAATTGAATCGGCAAAAGTAAACTGTAATAACAAACCAAACAGACTTAAGTCATGAACTCATGGTTTTTCACTGGGAGTTTAACACGGATCGATAAAAGTCTATTCCTTATTATTGTGGTGCGCGCTAATTATAAGTAGTATATGTCGCGAATAAAAATGTAATGTCTGGCAGCAGAAGATGGGGGAAGATCAAGAAAGGAACAGTGGGAACACAATGGGATTTGTATGAAACGCATGAATAAGTGAAATGTCAGACAATGGATTGATGTTTTGCAACAGGAACAGTCCAGTTCAATATGATGGATTGATATTTTGCAAATTAACGATTTAGGCTATGGTTATTCTATTTCACCAATTAACTCTGTAATTTGAGATAAATACAATTCGGTTGCCCTCACCTGTGTTCTCCTTCACTACATTATGAGTTCGATAGGAATCAACTAAAACTTACCAATATTTAGCTAGTCAGACGCTTAAATACTGAGGAATAATATAAGATTGTTGAATAGGAAACAACATGAGCAATTCTTAAAGAGACAATAAGGCAGTGATTAGTTTGTTCATTGGAAAATAATAGCGAACAAATATGAATAAAATGTACTAAACACTTTTATATGATTTATGGATTGTTTAATATAACGTAAAAGTTCTTGAGATTTTAACTGGAAAAAATATCTGCATAAATTTTCATCATTTTGAATTTGAAATGTCCTCTCACGGACGCTAAGTGTGATTCTGAACCTAAGTTCATTAACCCTTACTCTTAATTCTACCCTACATGAAAAACATCTACAAGATCACTGACAGATTGTTGAAACCTCTAAGAATGAATGTTGCGCACAAATTCAAAAAAGTATTTACAATCACTATTATAAAGGTCAGACGAGAACACAACGACAAATGAAGACAAATAAAATCATTATATACAAAATTGACTGAACTAATAGTGAAATTCTCAAGTCCATTTATGTTTATGTAGATCTCATCGAGAGGTGTGAGAACTAATATGGACATTATTTCGATTGGAAAAATGTCAAGAGAGAGAGAGAACGGAAAGACAGAGAATTTTTAAAGGAATGGCACTCTGATAGCGCATCAACCTACAGATATATTAAAATTAACTCAGTCTATCAGCCAATAAGTGAACTGAAAAACCTTACATAGGTCAGAGATGAAAAAATTAAAACGTTTATATAAACGCTAATAAACCAACAACCAATCCAATTCTAGATCACTGGAACAAACAGGGAGTCAATTGTAAAGCGATTCCTTAAAGCCTACTTTTCATTGAAGTGTGTATTGGCGGTGCGATTGTGAAAGACGATGAAATTTCCACGATTTAACCATACAGTTCAGAGAATGAATCACTTGATACCTTCTATTCATTCCGGCTTCATGAAATTTCTTTTTATCATAGTTCGTTTTATAGCTAAACACTTACCTTGAACAGAGATGGATCATGACCAGAAGTGGAATACATGACCTAAGTGGGATGAAGTGAATTTTAATTCATGAATATTTGTTGTTTCGATAGTCACATTGATGTTTACGGTGAAATGCAAGTCTTGAATTCCATTGCTGGCCAACATCTATCTCTGCCAAATATGCTTGTGACTTAGTGGTAATATTGCGATCTTAAACATTACTGGGAATACCTAAACAGCTAATATGTCTGAATGAAACACTTATCCGATTGGCTGATAAGTTGTTCAAACCAATCAGTATTATCTACTTTTCTCAACTGATATGGTTTTAAGTAGACTCGACTGTGATAACAAAATGACTCTTAATAATGATGTTTATTGTATTGTTCATTGTTAGGTATTGGATTCGTAAAGATTGTATAAATTTGTGGTTGGGTCTTGTCCAATGGACAATGAAGAGAAATCAATGCTATACATTTATTACTCTGTTTTAGATCAAAATTAAAATCTATAAATATAGTGACGAGCTAGTGTCTTTTGTATCAGAATGCAGAAGTCATTTATAGTGTGGTGTGAGCTACTTATAAGTAGTATATGACGTGAGTGTAAACGTAGTGTCTGGCAGCATAATATGGGGGAAGATCAAGAAAGGAAGAGTTAGTACACAATGGAATTTGTATGAAACGCATGAATAGCGACAATGGATTGATGTTTTGCAACAGGAACAGTCCAGTTCGATAGGATAAAAAAAAAAAAAAAAAAAAAAAAAAAAAAAAAAAAAAAAAAAAAAAAAAAAAAAAAAAAAAAAAAAAAAAAAAAAAAAAAAAAAAAAAAAAAAAAAAAAAAAAAAAAAAAAAAAAAAAAAAAAAAAAAAAAAAAAAAAAAAAAAAAAAAAAAAAAAAAAAAAAAAAAAAAAAAAAAAAAAAAAAAAAAAAAAAAAAAAAAAAAAAAAAAAAAAAAAAAAAAAAAAAAAAAAAAAAAAAAAAAAAAAAAAAAAAAAAAAAAAAAAAAAAAAAAAAAAAAAAAAAAAAAAAAAAAAAAAAAAAAAAAAAAAAAAAAAAAAAAAAAAAAAAAAAAAAAAAAAAAAAAAAAAAAAAAAAAAAAAAAAAAAAAAAAAAAAAAAAAAAAAAAAAAAAAAAAAAAAAAAAAAAAAAAAAAAAATTCAGAAGTCATTTATAGGACTTAACTGAACAATCTAGTCATGAGAAAAATATTGAAGCTATCAGATGGAATTTGTATGGAACACAGTACTGCATAAACAATGAAGACCCATAGACTTGAAATATTAAGGTATCCAGGCTTTTGTAAAGCTAATAGGGTACAATTAATAGGAAATTAACTTTCTTCTGATGAAATGGTTAACAATTTCATTTCCCTCAATAACACCTTTCAGTATATCACTACTGTCTTCCGTCCTAATTTGCCGAATCTAACTAGAGCTTAGTATTAAGATTAATATGATTGTTTGGTGTACCGACAAGAATTGACGTCATTTATGATAATTTCAGAAAATAAAGTGTTTTAATAAACCTACCGACGTTTCAAATTCGGTAATCGTTCATGTTCATTAGACCATTTTTCCATTGATTTTAGAATTTCATCTAAAATTTCTTCAGGTTTAATATCTTCCGCAGTAGTCTGAGAAAAATATTATAGGAAATAAGAAAATATTCGTTAGAAAAGTGGAAGTATGTAAGTTACATAAAAAAGCTGATAGAATTTAAATTAAAAACTGATCTTAGTTTCGTCTTAATGTAGAACTACTCTACAGCGCCTAACGACGACTTTTCATGTTCGTGAACTGCCAACCTCCATACCACGAACCTCACATTCAATGATATCAGTATTCAACTCAATTTAACTCAATCTAAGATATTCCATGACCATTTTTTATTGCCCTCAGTACATAACTTTCCCGAACCTGGTACGTATGAATTACATATATGAGTTTCATGCGCACAAGGCTGAACGAACATCCTGGGTCGTGGATGTTCACTACTGCGGACAAAACATTAGTTCAGAGCCCATACGCTTTCACTGATAGTGTAACTGAGACCAGTTTGTGATTCGAAAACTTTTAAAACTCCGTAGACGTCATAAAACACTTTACTGATAAAATCTCAGGTATTTTATGTTGGAGGATATTTATCAACATATCAGTGGATTACTTTTCAGTAAACAATATTATGTGATTTGCACAGAGCTGCTGACCCGACAATAGCTGCTACCTTGACGTGGTGGTCGGACTTGCATATTGTGAGGAAAACCGCGATATATTGGCTGAAACATATGTTCTTTTAGGTCTTACTATGCGAGGCAGGTCGATTGGAGAACGTTAAGACTAAATGCAGCAACTTCAGGTCTGAGGGAGAAGTGGTACTGCCGACTATAGAGGGGTGTAACAGCAGTAGGGTGTTTCTCTGGGTCAATCAGAATCTGCACCAATGCTGCCTTCTCACAAGAAAGGAAGGGGTTAGGAAAGGTTGCCCCTAAAAATGTCACACCTTACCCTGTCTCATGGATTTCCATCGTCGGCAGCAGAGCCTGCATGTTGAAAACCTCCCATAACAAGGACCTGCGTGACAAGTCTAAGGCAGTTGTCTATTGTGCTCCTAGGTCACTGAGATCAAAAATAATCGAACAATCTTTTCAGGTTCTTCAAGAAACACTTTTCTACGGTGTGAGCAGCCAAGTAATGATATTCACCCTGATACCCGAAACAGCACACACGAATGAATTGGCCACAACCATTCAAAACCCTACACCCCCTAATAACCCTCTTGGCTCCATGACCAATTCTCCTCACATTCCTTTATCACCTGGCGCCATTCACACAAACGATTTGATTAGGCAAAACGTTATTTCAAGTCTCCTAAAACCAGGTTATAAACTACATGTAGGCGCTTTCAATGTTCGAACCATGCGCCAAATAGGACAACAGGCTTCCTCAGCTAGGACTCTAGAATACTGGGATATCTACGCATGTTGCGTCTCCAAAACGCACATACAAGATGAGAGTAGAGTCATTCATTTGACCTCGCCATGTCAAAATAAAGAACCAACTCGACTGACTCTTCGTGTATCTGGAAGCCCCAATGCTGTTCCTCATGACCTCAATGATGTAGATTAGGCATCAGGTTTTGAGGCAGGACTGGATCCTTAAAGACAGTAGCTTGTATGCTGGCCGATAATACGGAGCAGTACGAACTCATAAAGGTAGGAACAATCTCTGTTGCCTCTTCGTCGTCACTGCCTTTGCTCCCACTGGCTGCAGCTTGGATGACGTAAATAAAAGCTTTCGAGCTTCTGCTAAAAAGTTGGGCGCTCTGAAAGAAAGGACAAAATTCTTCCAGTGGCAATCACAGAGGAATCGATTTAACTAACAGTGTCCAAGATATTGGCTTCAGTAATACTTTGACGTTCGACTAGTTCTCGTGAAGAACAGACCCGAGAAAAACAGGCTGATTTCATTCTATTGTCAGTATCTTGATAATGTATTGATTTCCGGTAATAACTTTAAATTATTCAGCATATCTAATTAATCAGTTTAATAAAGAGCGTGATGAAATCAGATTTACTATGAAGCATGACAACGAAAATTGAGCTCTACTTCTCATAAAATTGGAATTCTTGAAATTTACGCGAAAATTTGAGATATTTTCGATCACAAAAGTACACGAACTGAAGTTTTTATTGAATATATTTTATCCTGCCTCCATTATTATTCACATTTTAAGCAAACTCATCGAAGAGACCTACTACTTGTATGAAATCCTTGATTGTGATTATCATGATTATTTTTATAATATGGAACAACTTACTTTACACTTTATTTGTGTACTCCATTGATCAATCATAACACGTGCTTCTTCTGCTTGATAAATTAATTGTTCTCTTTCATCTTGCCATACTTTGTATTCTTTTTCTGCAGTCTCTTCTAATTCAAAATGACGATGTCTAAATAATTCCACTTGTTGTCGATAGCATTCCATCTGTACAAACCAAAATATAAGAATGAAATATCCCATTGATTTATGGAACATTTTAGTGATAGCAGTTATCAAAATGATCACGTATTAATGAGGTAGTTTGATTCGTTAATGTGAAAGTGAAAGTTTCGTGTTACAAACACACGTTATCTAAGATACCTTTGGGTTGATTGGCACTTTTATCCTACTTCATTCAAACATCAGCATTCATCAATCAAGTGACAAGTCTGTTTAATCACCTATCTCAGTAAGGGCGCATAATTAGGTTGAAAGAAAACTTAAGGAGACCAAAATAATAAACGGCATCCGTAAATGAAGTCACCAATTGTTGGTCTGATCCATATTGATAGATGCAGACTACCTTATTGGGATTAGCATGGTAATAATGATCAGTAATTAGAGATATATATATATATATGGTTTGAATCGATCTTTTTGGTTAGCGTTTTTCTGGTAAGTTAGTTTTCTACGGGATTAGGTCGCCAACCCTACTCCCAACCATCCTTCTTTATCCGGACTTGGGACTGGCAGTATCCCCAGAAGGACTCCGGGTGGACACACATTGTAGAAAGCACCCGACTGCGTCATAAGGAAAGCCCTCACTTGGAACCCTGAAGGGAAGCGGAAGAGGAAACCCATGGAACACATTACGCTTAAGAATGGAGATAGATATGGGAATAATGAACGAAAAATGGATAGAACTGGGAAGGGAGGCACAGAAGAGAATCGTTTATAGAATACTGGTGGGTGGCCCGTTCTCCATCGGCGGTAACAGTTGTCAGTAAGTAAGTGAATAATACATGAATAAAACATGACAAATAATAAAACAAAGGAAAACTTTTCTACTGACTGTTAACAATCGATCTTTAATATCTTCCAATTCTCTTTCCACTGTTAATCTAGCTTCTTCAGCCTCTTGTACAGCTGTGATACTTTGTGTTGCGTGTAATTCTTTCGTTTCTAATAATTCATTTCGTAGTTTACTGATCATTCGTTCAGCATTTTGTAGTTTTAAAATAATTTCTTGATTTTCTAATTGTGCTGTACGTGCTTGTGTAGTTAGTACACTTGGACGTGTACTACTACTGCTACTAGCACTGAAACGTTGCAGAACTTTGGGCAATTTTTGTGTATCTTCTAATTGAGCTAATTTCAACTAAATAATAAAAACAAAAAGGAAAAAATGCAGTCAATGAACATTGAAACTATGACAAAAAAGAACACTCTAAAACTTACAATACTTTCAGATAAACTTCATGTTATGATGAGGAACTTATCTGAATCAAATGCCTTCAAGATTACGGCTGCAAATATTAAACCGACATGTTACATATCGACCATAATGTGAATAATTTCAATGAATATATCAGTAGTATTCAGTGTTTACATGATTTCAGACTTTTCTTTGCCATAAAAACACTTGTGAATTTCAAAAAATATGCAAATGAAATGATGGTAAATAAGTTTCAAAGAACTATAAGAGATAAAGTGATATTTGCCTGGAAAGTATGCTAAAACTAGGAGCATGAGGATAAGTATTAAGTTTAAGGGTTAAGCTTTAGAATTATGAGTGTTGTAGTATCATTTTAAACTACTAATCATAAAATTTGAAGCTTGAACGTTTCAGTCAATTTTACAGTGTTTCGAAATGATATGAAGCCAATTTTATTCCGTTTGATTTGTTACTTATTCATACGTTCAGTTTTCTGTTTTGTTAAGTTTAAATGAGGCAATACATTGGTTAGATGGATGATGAAACAAGCTATCATAGTATTACACTTTGAATAAGAGTTGAGAACAATGGAAGGAATTAAAAATAATGAATAAAAGTAATCAGTTGATTATGTCACTCATAAAATATTTTTTTGATACATTAAATTTCATTGCGGGGTTGTGACGATTGTTAACAAACACATTTGAAATCATAAATCGATCATTGTTAGACCACCATGAGAAACTTCGAGGCACTGGATGGCCGTTTCGTCCTGGTATGGGACTCATCAGTGGCACTACGCATCCACGACTCCTGAACCTCGTAGGAGTCGAATACAGGACCTTCGGTCTTACGCTTGGACACCTGACATCTGGACCATTGAACAGATTAATGTCCAACTTCAATAAATTCACGGACTTGTGCAACCTCATACACTGTCTTCAATAGTTACTGCCTACACCCGAACAGGTCGAACTTCACCGGTCACAACTTCCCATTAGAACTGGTGTAGTGAATGAGAACACAGGTGAGGGCAACCGAATTGTATTTAACGAAAATTACAGAGTTACTCAGTAAAATCGGAAAACCATATCGTAAATCGTTCATTTGCAAAAGATCAGATCATCCTATGGAACTGGACTGTTCCTGTTGCCAAACATCAATCCATTGTCACTATTCATATGTTTCATACAAATTCCATTGTTTCTAACTCTTCCTTTCTTGATCTTCCCCCCATACTATGCTACCAGACTTTACGTTGACACTCACGCTATATACTACTTATAAGTAGTTCGCACCACAGCACCACACTGGGACAAGATTCCTCAAGGAGCTAGTCACTAGTGAGCAAATGTAACTGAATTACGGGGTTGTGAAGATTTTCAGGTTTCACATTTGAAATCATGAGTCGATCAATGTTAGACCACCATTAGATTTCGCATAACAGTTTCTCTTTTGGCATTCATTAATTGCAAGTTCTATCCAGTTTCAATTTGCTTGAAATGTGGCTGTTATTTTTTCGAAATTCAACTGAATCTTTGTATAATGTAACTTTGAAACTATGTTTTTCCTATCCGAAACGTTTACAATATTTATCCACTAGTCCTGATTTTTTCCACGTATCCTAATCCGTATAAGGTTGATAAGAAACTCCACTAATGGTGTTTTTATTTTGATATCGTACTTGAGAATCAGTCGTAATGAAGCAGGAATAAATGTTTTTTACCTTGAAACCTGCATAAAACCCATTACAGGGTGGAAAGCTTTCTACAAATCAGATACAACTTCGTCATGGTACAAATGTTTCCAGTGTTGGGTACAGTTAGTCGTGATGAAATAAAAACTACATACAAAAAAATAACCGTTATTACTGACTACGATACTTTTAGATGTTGTGACAACATGGAGTTTATCTTCACTTTTAACTGGTGATAAGGTCATGGAGAAGGAGAAATTAAGGCAATCTACAACGGTCCTATTTTTCAGTGAACCCAGTGCATTCAACACTTCGGATCATTTTTTTGTAAACACATCTGGTGGGTTATTCGTAAATAATAAACGATTATATTCAATACAAATCTCAGTTACACTTTGCACTACACTTATGTTTTATGTTCATAATAAATAATTCTGAACAACTTAAGACGTTTAAATTGTAATCTTCAGTGAGAATTTCTTTTCATTCACCTAGTATTCATCCCTCAAATGGATGGAAAACTAGTCTAATGTCATTAATATAGTACACACAGTGAACAATAGAAACTTCGCTCAAATCCTCGTGTATGTGCACTACTGATAAGTTCTATAAGTAGACGAGGTGGTCGTACACTGCTTCCAGGTTATCCGTGGTGGTCTAACAACGATTTCAGTATAAAAATGATGAAATGAATAACCTCTATTTTGATCAGTTCATGATTTCAATAAGATTACTATAAGCTGGACAACCATCCAAAACTTGAAATCACTGGACAACTGTTTCATCTTCAACGTGTTAGTGTACATCTTAAACAGCGCCACTAGGGTCAAAATTCACTCAACCAAAATTGAATAATGCTTAGGCCTTATTTTGAATCAATACTCTTTTAAGTGCTATCATATTGTAGTGTGTGCTACTTATACGAACGATATAAGTAGTATAAGGATGGATGTGAAAGAGAAGTCATACGGTCAGAAGAGGAAAACGGAAAGCAAATGGAGCAAAAGCAAGAAGTAAATGGAGTACCAACAGGAAGGAAAGGAAGCAACAACAGGAATGGAAGAAGGATGGAGTGTTGGAAGTCACGACTCAAAGATGGTGTGCAAATAGAGTGTATTCAATGTAATGTTTTCGTTTTTAACTGACTCAGAGTGTAAATTTGCATAATACAATCTTCCTCGCCTGCCTCAGTCTTCTCAAGACTATCAATAATTATTTAGCTTCGATAATTTCATTGAAAATGTAACAATCTCTACAAACCTTACATCAATTACACATTATTAATTAACACTTTATACATACCTCTATGGTTTGTTTCTCTTTTTCTAATTTTTCATAAGCAGTTTGTAAATTTAGCAATTTCTTTTCACTTTCCTTTTCTAGCTCAAATAATCTCACACTTGTATCTTGAAGTAATTTTCGTGTATTTGCAATTGTAGTTCGACGATCTTCTTGCTATAAAAATAGTTGTATCAAATTAAAAAAATAATAAGTGACAACATGTTTGAAATAAAAGGATGCATAACATGCCAGAATTGGTTTGTTACATAATTCACTGTCTGCTTGACAGTGGTGACATTTTCCTACTAATTAAGCTTTCTCATTTTACATAATGCAAATGGTACGCCATAACTGAATTGAACAGTGAAGAGATAATATCTTATTATCCTAGAATGAGATCAGTCATTCATTGTTAGTTGTATTCGGTGGTTTATCGAATGAATGACTCTTATCCGTAAATGAAAATTAGCCTGAAAGTATAATAATATACAGGCCTTCACATTCCAACTTGTAAATAGTCCCGATAAGAAGTGTCTCATGTTATTAACTGCGTAAAAGGTCATTTGTGGTACAATTGAGGTTTCAACAATGCGGTTGTATAATTGTCAGTTAATGTTTAGACGAACTGAAAATATGAACTAGTGGATTACAACTTAGTGATCTATTTGAAGTTCACTGAATAATCTGACTATTCTGATCTACATTTCAATATCTGAGTTCAACAACGGCTTAAGAATATGGAACTAAGTCTACTCACGTTGCAGTGAAGGAGAACACAGGTGAGGGCAAACGAATTGTATTTAACGAAAATTACAGAGTTACTCAGTAAAATCGGAAAACCATATCGTAAATCGTTAATTTGCAAAACATCAATCCATTGTCTGATATTTCACTGTTCATGCGTTTCATACAAATTCCATTGTGTTCCCACTCTTCCTTTCTTGATCTTCCCCTATCTTCTGCTGCCAGACATTACGTTGACACTCACGTCATATACTACTTATAAGTAGAGCGCACACTAACGTGTCTAGGTAAATTTTGGTTTGTAGCATACTCCTTAAAATATTGTCAGTTCAACATTCAAATTCAGTTTATAATATTAATATTGAGACAAAAGATGTCATTAATATTATTATTATTATCATTATTATTATTATTATTATTATTATTATTATTATTATTATTATCATTATATTTACGCATCTCGCTGCTAGTCATAATCCGAAATCATAACAAAATTTTATAGCCAAACTCACTCTGGATCGATATACATTAACAGAAGCTGATAAAACAGCTGAATATTACCAACCTTCACTAATTCAGAAAGGGACTCATTTATTTGCTGTATGAAAAACCACTTAACATTTCACTAGTAACAAATATTATCACCAAGTTAGCAAAATACGTATGAAATCAAATTAAAAATAATTTCAGAAAATGGAAATGTGAAGTAAAACAGCATAGAACATTGAATTTGATAATTTCCATTGTATCAATCACGCCTAACTCATCATCATGATTTGAAAAATATCATACAACTGTCGTTTATTGCCTGGGCTAGCTGACTTTGAACCATGTAGGTAGTAAGTATGAGCTAACTTCTATCCTAAATTTGATTTAGGTAGCTAAACAGTTCATTAGCATTCAAGTAAATGACACGACTCATTAGTTGGTTGGAAATCTTGGATCTAGGTTTCATATTGTTTAACACCTATTAGCAAGGCATATCTGTTTTACTAAGGGAAGTGATACAGTCTGCAGGAGGCGAGTTGCGGTCTGAATACCCTTATGGAGAAGTTACTGTCTGTGATGCTTGGTAAAATCGGATACAATCCAACACACATCGAGACTACCGAAACATTTCTCTAATGTGTGCTATGTAACATGGAACCTAGATCTGGCATTTCCAGTGGACTAACTTTAGCTAAACTGACTTCAAACACTTCAACATAGAGCATGTAATGCCGATTCATTCCAACCAGCTGCCAAATTGCAAACCCTCACGGTTCATTCAGCACTAAAAAAGCCTTGATATACGTCACTGCTCAATGGTGAACCGACTGTAAAAACCTGCACAGTTGACGAGTTATTGTAACATTGATTTTATTATTCAACTGTCAAACACATAAATCACAATTAATTTACCTCTTTCGCTTTCGATTCAAGAACCAATCTTTCTGTAATCCATGCTTCTTGTTCACCTTCATATTGTTCTTTAATACTACGATAACGTCGTTGATAATCAATCACATTATTGTGTAATGATTCATTTTGTATTTTTAATTCAACATTAGCACGATTCAATATACTAATATGTTCATTAAGTAAAGCAATTTTAGTGTTCGGTTGTTGAGCTGCAATTGCTTTTGCATATGTATTACCCATATTTAAATTTGTAAGATAACCGGTGATATCCTTGGAAAAAAAATATGATAAACATTTAAAATTGACCAATTGAGCAAATAATTATCGTGTATCAGTATGAAGAAGGTGATTTTCAAGTGCTATAAAGATTTTAGATCCTGGAATCACCAGTTTACTAGGTTGTTATGAAAGATTGCATAAACCCATTCAGCAGTTAAATCTGTGGTGGCCAATTTCAACGTGTTCTTAAGCTGCGTAATTCGCTCGTCCAGACAATGGTTACTAAATAGCGTCTGATGGTTATGAAATCAGAAGGCAAATACGAAGTGTCGAATTCGTTTTTTTTTAGTACACCACAAAACGGGATAGCAGACCACAAGCTGACCCGGCAGGCACACTAGCGAGCGAATGTGCGAATGGGCGAAAGGAATTATCAGTTCAAAATCGTGGCTATATATATCTTTGCGGCCACCTGCCTCTTCGTCCATATCTGGTCGTCAGTGGACTTCCTTCTGTTTCCTGCGTTGCTGCTTCAGATGGTTTGAGCTCGCATTTCGGTGATTCAATGGCTTTCGATGGGTTTGCGATAACTGGTTGTTCGTCGCTTTTGATGAAAGTTGGTTTCACGCTGTCAATGCTAATTACATCCGTTTTTCCAGCTTTATCTACTGTGATAGTTTTATCGTTTTTTCTGATTACTTTAAATGGACCATCGCAAGTCGGTTGTAAGGGACGTCTCAAATCCAACTGTGGTGCGAGCTACTTATAAGTAGTATATGACGTGAGTGTCAACGTAATGTCTGGCAGCAGAAGATAGGGGAAGATCAAGAAAGAGTGGGAACACAATGGAATTTGTATGATACGCATGAATAGTGACAATGGATTGATGTTTTGCAACAAGAACAGTCCATTTCGAGATGATGGACTGATATTTTGCAAATAAACGATTTACGATATGGCTTTCCTATTTTACTACTGAGTAACTCTGTAATTTTCGTTGGATGCGACCCGGTTGCCGCACCTGTATTCTCCTTCACTACACAACTAATAAGTTTAAATAAATGCCCTTTCTACCTAACGTTAATAGCCGATGTTGAAAAAATTTAATATAAACCAGCAATCAAAGGTAATGTCGATTTATTCGCTTACAGAATCCATATATATCGAAATAAATTGACCAAATATAATTTCAGACAACCAGTTCATGGCATTTCTATTCAGAACGATCTTTAACTTTCTCTAATCTGGTTATATCATTATGACATATTGATAGTACCTAAGTAAACCAGGCATATGGATTACTTTCCAAGGAGAATATATTAATACAGAGAATTATTCTACATTACTTATTAGGCCTTTTCATATCCGGCAACTTGTCAGTATTCAATATAACGTACAACATATTGTTGTACAGTATGTTTGAGTAATCACAAGAATAGTTAATATTACATTTTTATAAGTTATTGTGTAAATATTTTCGTCTATATACACGGAATAAATGTTTGATGTATCTGTTGAACCCTTTTTTCTAACCGGTTTCACATCTTGATATACTTTTTTAACACAACAGTTTAAATGTCATTTATCTTGTCCTAAGTTGTTATAACCAGTTTTGGCTGACTGTACCCATATTAAATAAATATTACAGAAACCTTATGAGTTGAGCTTTGCAACTTATTTCATTTAGTTTTCATTAAAGTACCACCATCTTTGTAGGTAGTCTTTCGTTTTGATTTATCGGATTTAATGAGGTACTTGATCACGTGGTTGACAATCGATCGCATTAATAGTTTTTATCGATCTGAATTGACGACGGGATTCAATATATCCTGAACAATCTGAGTTAAAACTATTCTCACTCATGACCACACTTGAGACATACTAAAGTGATAAATGTCATGTTTGTAATCATTCTAACTGCGCTCTTGTTAACTGGAGGATGTGAGTACATAAATATGAAGAAACGCGTATCCTACTAGCCACTGCTAACCACATTCCATCTATTCTAATATCAACCTATTTCATAATGGCCAAATCAAAGCAACATATATCAAATGCTTATATGTGTGTCAATCGAGAATGATTGAATTTCAGCCGAAAAATATCAACAACTGAGTTATCTAAACCATTTCAAATTGAATAAAGCTAGAGGTTGACAAATAGTGTTTATGATGTGTACATTCTGACTACATATATAACTCATATATGATTAGAATGTGTTCTTCAAATTTATTTTCTTACAGAATTCTATACCAGCTGATAGGTTTAAAGTTATTTTAGTATCAATATATACATGAAACTTTTTATTGATTATTACAGTATGGCTGTTTAGTCGAGACTATTATAGATATATTTCAAAGCTTGAAGATTTTCCGAACTACCCACATAATAAATAGAATAGAAGTCAAATTAGTTGGGTTCAATCTTTCCAATAAGCTACCAAATGACAGTCGAACTGAAGTGGTTTCGACACTGCTGAGGAAAATTTTTAATTGGCAAATATTATTTTGGAAAATGCTTTCTCTGTACGTGATTGTTTAAGATTGAATCTTTTATAGTTTCAAAGTGTATATATTTAATACATCACTTACACAATTTTTTACATAGAGAAAGTGTTATTATGTGGTGTGTGCTACTTATACGAACGATATAAGTAGTATAAAAAGGGACGTGAAAGAAGAAGTCTTACGGTCAGAAGAGAAAAACGGAAAGCAAATGGAGCAAAAGCAAGAAGTAAATGGAGTACCAACAGGAAGGTAAGGAAGCAACAACAGGAATGGTTGAAGGATGGAGTGTTGGAAGTCACGACTCAAAGATGGTGTACAAATAGAGTGTATTCAATTTAATGTTTTCGTTTTTAATTGACGTAGAGTGTAAATTTGCATACTACAATCTTTCGCGCCTGCCTCAGTCTTCTCAATATGACCGACTCATTATTACTGATGTTCACTAGCATTTAAAATTCACACAATCAACTGCTTATTGCAAAATGCAGAAATTCAAATACCATAATTTCATGTGAAATTTTTTGTGTAGTAGTAAAAGTTGTCTAAAAAGACAATGAAGCATTTAACAGAGGGAAATTGAACTTTCGACAGAGAATTCATCAAAAAAAAAAATACACTTCAGAATGAGAAAAAAAACAACACAGTTGACTATTACCTTTCTACCTTTTTCTTCTGATGTATGCCTTTTGTCTAATTTACAACGTAATTTCTTCAATTCCATATATAAATCATCTTTTTCTCGTTTAGTCAATGATAATTCTCTTCGTAATTTGTCCACTTCAAATCCACGTCTGTTTAACATGTGTTCACGATTATCTTGTTGATTTAAATCACGGTTATTATTGGTTGTTGTAGTAGAAGTACTCATTGGACCTACTGCTTCTTCCATACGTTTACGTAGGTTTTTCAATTCTTGTTCTTTATTCGCTAGTCTATTTTGTTGGTGAAAAATTCAAATGTAAAGTATACCATGACATGACATTATGAATTGAAGTTTGAATTTTCAATGAGGTAAAAATAATTGTAGAAAACACAAATAAAGTTAATAAAGTAGGTGTTGAATTCTGAAATTTATAGAGTTCATCAGTGTGTTATGCAGAAAGTTGATTTAAATCTGAGAAAATTCTTTCAATGAATAAATCATCACTAATTATTATTGATTTCAGTAGTTTATTTTTAAAAGTTGAGATTGATGTGAAATTTCTTGTCTTAAGTGAACATGTTAACAATCCATCAAAGGACTTTCAGACTTTCCTTGACTAGAAATAAGCTTACTTGATGAATTATAGAGGACTATCAGCATAATTCTTACTATTACTTGAATTTAATAACTGCTCTCTAAGAACTACTAATTACAAAAATATCACAGCGAATGAATATACTGACTTGAAATGGTCTTTTATTTTAGATACTTGCTCGATCTTAGAAGGATGTCTATGTATAAAACCTATCACTGAAAAAAATGGTAACCGTAGTGAGAATTCAATAACTCATAGGAATTAAATTTACGAAATTTTCATCCACGTCAAACGTAACAATTTTGTTTTCTAGTAAACAGATCATGTTTATGAATGATATTCATACTGCTTTGAACTTATGGTGTCTACAACTATTCACTTTATATAGACTGATGTATTCAGATGTTCTGGCCTCTTTCTCTGTTTAATGAACTCAAACAGTTAGACTTGAAGAACTCACTAAAGCGTATTGTATGAATATACAATATCAAACAGCTTCTAAGCTTCTTTATGAATAATGGCTGTCGATGGTATTATTGTGGTGCGCGCTACTTATAAGTAGTATATGACGCGAGTGAAAACGTAATGTCTGGCAGCAGAAGATAGGGGAAGATCAAGAAAGGAAGAGTGGGAACACAATGGAATTTGTATGAAACGCATGAATAGTGAAATGTCAGACAATGGATTGATGACTGATTGAAGATTTGCAAATTAACGATTTACGATATGGTTTTTTATTTTACTAAGTAACTCTGTAATTTGAGATAAATACAATTCGGTTGCCCTCACCTGTGATCTCCTTCACTACATTATGACTCAAATAACATTTAATCGACTTTAAGCTACAATCAAAAGTGTAAGAGCTGGTAGTACCACCAAAGTGTCAAAAAAAATAAAGAAATCAATATGTTGAAATCGATTCAAGTCCATATCAGTGTAACATACCGATTTTTCAGTTCTTCAAATCCTTTCTCTACATCCATTCTTTTGGATTCAGCATTTTCATATTGTAATTTGAAACTTTCTGTATTCTGTCTAGATTCTTTTAAATATGCATGTAATTCATTTAACATTTTGTCTTTTTCAATGATTGCATCACGTAATTGAATTACTTCATTGCCAAGATGTTTCATGGTATCTTCATTTTGACTAACAACTTTTTTCAATCCTTCATGACTAACTTTGGTATCTTTATAGGATGTTAAAAAAATGTAAGAATATTTGTGTATGTTTAATATTAGTTAGTGAAATGAAGAGTTTTGTAAGTTCATATCAAATATTATATATATATATATATATATATATATATATATATATATATATATATATATATATATATATATATATATATATATATTTGCACTACGTATATTGGTGTGTTCAGGCGAACTTTAATTAACCTATGATTACTATTAATGTGTAGATTGTTTAATTTCCAGTTAAAAATTATGAACTGAATTCCAATGGACAACTAATTTCAAGAAAGGAGCAGTGACGAGTTTTGGTTTTGTGGTTTGAGGCATCTACAACTTAATTAAGTGAAGAACTCAGAATTAATCAGTCTTGCCTTGGGCACTCGATTTTAAGACCACTAAATTAGTAACCAATGGTTTATGCTTTAGAAATTCTGTCAGTCTTCGACATCACCCAACCATTATCCATTGTCTGATAACCATACATGTCCTACATCGAATATGTGGTTAAAGTAGTGAGCTAGTGACGTCTCACCAGAACTGAGAATTTTATCTTGAAGTTACATGAAACTAAGTATCGTTACAAATCTATAGTACTAATAATGATAATGTCCAATATGTAGTTTGAGCCATAGTATGACCAAAGCTTTGGATTAATTACAAAAACGTGGAAAATATGTTTAAAATGAACTCTTGAATGATTGATGCCTCTCAAAAAAGCAGAGGACAAGTTGTAACCTAAATTTCTTGACTCCCGGATTGCATAATGGTAGTATTGAATGTTACTATATGTTTTCTATTGGTTTGGAAATTTCAACCAACGAAGTGTTATACCTATGTGTAAAATTATTCTAACTTATTTCTTATTTAGTGGACTAACGCTTACGATTGATGATTTCAACTACTAGAAACAGAAGTCAGATTGAAAAACAAAATCGTGAAGCAGATTATCTGTTTAAGAAACCATTTCAAAATATCTGATTTCAAATTTCGCACAGCTTAAATCTTAGCTAGACCAATATTGAAAACCTCTAAGCAACGGACGGTTATTTCATTCTTGTATGGGACTCAGTGGAGGCAGGCGCATGAATGAACTGACAGGCGGTAATCGAGCATATGACCTTTGTTCCTAAGCATGAAAGTTCAAATATCAATAAGAACTAAACAAACTGACCATCTTGTCAAAACCATCAATGATGATAATATTACTTCAATTGAATAGAAATGTGTAATAATGAAAAAAGGCTGCTCTTTTAAAGAAGGCAATTCTCATACCTTTCAATTCTTGTGTAGCAGTGTTTAATTCAGTTCGTAACCTTTCAATTTCTGCAATTTTAGCACCTAAACGACCAGATGCTCCACTGATTTCTGTTGCTTTAACTTGAGCTAAATCACGTTTTGTTTGTTCCAACTGATTGGTAAACATGAAAAAGAAAAATAGGATGCATTGTTTATTTCAGTTAAAGAAAATTGAATATTGAATTGATCCGAAATGTTCTCTGGATCATGATGAAAGTTTGTATTAAGATGGATCAAATGAATGAAAAAATGAAAGCTGCGAGATCATGTTCTCATGAAGTTTAAAAAGATAATAATGATTGTTTATTGAGAGTGTGCATAAAAAGATGTATATATATATATATATATATATATATATATATATATATATGTATATATATATATATATATATATATATATATATATATATATATATATATATATACATATTTGTTGTTTTCAGATTGTTCGTTGTTCATAAGTTGCAGTAAATCAGTTAAAAATCTATAGTTTTGTATTCAGTGTTGATAACAATGTGAGTTTTAAAGCCTATCTAATACAGAATAATATTAGAAAGGGTGAGAAGATTGAGTATTCAGTTATTGTTTTGCTAGGAAACTGTCTGTCCATGAGTATAAGCGAAGCTGAGGAGTCCCATACCAGGACGAAAAGGCCGTCCACTGCTTCCAGGTTTCTAATGGTGGTCTAACATTGATCGATTCATGGTTTCAAAAATGTGTAACTTAACAATCTTCACAACCCCGTAATGTCCTCTGATTATGAATCATGAGATTGTAGTAACTCCACTTTCATGAAGTGGACGGGATTAGTTTAATCGCAACATTGTTTATCACAACCAATTGTACCACTGATTGTTTTACTGAACCATTTATTTATTTGTACCTTGTACGCGAAAACTTTACGTTTGTGTTTGTGCCATTTTCGGATATACTACTCACTGCAATTTCGCCTCTCTTTTCTGGCACAATTTCGATATTCCTCTAATACTATGAAATCATCAGCAAATATATTCCCTTGTACGGATGAACTTTTCTTCATTGTCCTTGATTCACGGTGATACTATATTTAGTAATGGAAACCTAATTGATCTGTAGTGGTGATCTTAGTCAGCCCTAACTAGTCTCACTAAAACCTTTTAGTTTAATAATTTTTTCAGTCTGTAATGAAAGTTCAACAAATTAAAAGCAGGCAATTCTCTCTTCTTACCTCTCGTTTCATTTGTTCAATTGACGATTTATATCCACGAATTTCATTGTTACGTCGTTCTAGTTCATCATCTTGTTCAAAAATTGAATCTTCTCGTAATTTCAATTCATCTTGAAGTTCTCTATTCTCTTTCACTAATTTCTCTCTAATTTTTTCCGCTTGTGTAAGATTATTACGAATCTGTTTTGACAGGAGAAAATATATAGAAATAACATTACTGGTGTGTATTTATTTTTTATATTCTGCCTAACAGCGAAGACCAGGATGCGTGTCTCCTCCTTAAAAAACAGATCCAGTACATGTACTTGCATCATGTAAGTGTTACGCTCGTCACTAAGTATGCTTGAGGCTATTATGAGTTTACCTTAGTTGATAAACGCAAACGAGACTTTTATAAGCGTCCAGGTAGGCTACCTTGAATCCCCAAAGCGAGTAAAAAGGCTTTGTAAGTGTAGAACCTATATTCTACAAACACTCAGCAATCACAATACAATCAAGCATACAACTCTCTTTTATTTATACTACACAGAAACGTCCTTGAGACAGTTAAGAAAATAGCACACTAAAATGCACAGCAGCCAATCACAGCCATGGATTTTCCTGGTGGGAATTGATATCTCAAGCTCAACAGATCAGCCGATGCTGGCAAATGTGAAAACCAAAATAAGGCATTTATCAAGCGAATTTTGGGGATCTAACATGCCCAACAGTAAGTTGATGCTACCCTGGTGAATTTACAACCAGTTAGATGCTACTTCGTTACAACAGTCATCGACTTATTCAACCAATAAGGTTAGTTTATGATGATCAGTGCCACATACATTGCATAACATCTATAGGTCACAATTTTTGATTGAAATTCGGATTGTAGCCATCAGTGAGTAAAAAAAACTTGACCTTCAAAATGGTCGGTTTCAAAAATATCGCCTAAAATTTATTTTAATTGATTGATAATATGGTCATTAGGGCAAAAAGATGGATATAATCTATTGAATTTTCTAAATTTACCATAGATTTTCTTTTTGTACAAATAACATCTTCATTTCCAGTAAGTAAGAAAGTCTGAACTTCTTACAATCGACGTCATGTTTTACTGTTAAGATCTGGCGAAATTCCAACTAACAATTCAATAACCTAACTCAATATTAACAGTTTTTAAGCGTCAAGATAGGTATGTTGTTTAGGGATACATAACTCAGGTTACACTACATCAGTTATCATCCACTGACTTATTAATATTCACTCAGTATTTTATATTATAGTCACTTACAATTTGCATTTCTTTTCTCATAGATTCAACTTCTTTCTTATAACTTGCAATTTCTACACTTGTTCCCAGTTTTTGTGACTAAAAGAATAGAAAGAATTAGAATGAGAAAATATCGGAAAAGTTGATTTTAAATGAAGGAATTTTGTGACACGTAACAAAAATATATAGCTTTTACGCTCTTGCGCTTTTAAATACGAGACACTAAAAGTTTTAAAGCTTTGCTTTCATCATATTTTTGTCAAACATAAGTAAAACCGAGTGAGACCAGGTCATTTGATGACAACATTTAACTGAAATAAATCATTTTAACTGAATCATAAAAGAAGTCTTAAAAAAAGTATTGGGGCGACTCAACGAGTCAAACGGGGAATCAATCACTCAATCAGTCATTAAATAGCTACGCAGAAATTTGCACGTGAGTACAGCAGTTCAAGTCGCCATATCACATTACAACAGAAATGTTCTTGTCAATTCAAATCCAATAGTAGAAGAGGTAGTAAAAGTTTCAGAAGTAATTGGAGAGATTCGGGTTCGAAGATGTTATTCAAGAAGTATGATTCAGTGAGGTAAATTTAGAAAGCGAAAGATAGAGATTATGAGGAATGCTGAAGATTACAATTTTATAGAACACAAAGAATGAATGCGCCTGAGCCACTGCAAACGGTTTTGAGACATGTCATTCAGGATCTCTAACTATCGATTACTAACATCTCGCGGACCACAACCACGTAGTCGACACCTACCGACATGACTCAGTCCACTTGTCAATGACTTCATGGATTTGTACCATGTTTTGGTCTGACTGCCTCTAGCTTTCTTCCAACCTATTCCTACACAGCAAAATATAGCTCGACGAGGCAGTCGGTGGTTAGGCATATGCAACACATGTTCCAACCACCTCAACTGATGAAGTTTCATTACTTCATCTACTCACCTGCCATCCTTACCTAGTACTCGTTTCCTAACGACAGCCTTGCTTACTCGGTTGTCCTAGGATATACGAGGAACGCTTCGAAGACACCTGTGATCGAAAACCAGTAACCTTCGAATACCTTCTACCGGGAAACATTAGACAGATTTTTCTTTCTTGTCTACAGCGTCTTATACACGACTTGACAGCGGATTGAATATGAAACATTCAAACGTGTCAATAAGAAGCGGAAATTCAGACCACTAATATAATGTGAAAGTTTAATTCTAATCAATTAGCTGAATTGAGTGATCAATGAAGGATGAATGGGAGATTTGTGCACCTTGATATTTATTACTTTTCTGATTGAGGTCATTTCATGATTCACTAATCTAAACAATTCCTTGAAATGAAATTAACACTGTTGTGAGGCAATAAATAATTTGAAATCATGAATCGATCAATGTTAGACCACCATTAGAAACCTGGAAGCACTGGACGGCCGTTTCGTCCTGGTATGGGACTCATCAGCAGTGAGCATGCACTACTCCTACACCTCCGCTCAGTGGTCCAGAGGTCAGGCGTTCGTGCGCATAACCGAAGGTCCTGGGTTCGACTCCTACGAGGTGCAGGAGTCGTGGATGCGCATTATTGATGAGTCTCATACCAGGAAGAAATGGCCGTCCAGTGCTTCCAGGTTTCTAATGGTGGTCTAACATTGATCGATTCATGATTTCAAATGTGCAACTTAACAATCTTCACAATAACTAATTTACCAATTACATCAATCAAACATAGATCATGATAAATGAATGAAAACATCTTCAACAAAAAAACAAATCAAACAAAAATAATACTCAAACCTTGTTGTCAATTGGTTCTTTCTCTACCAATGCACGCATTGCTTCATTCATTTTACGCATTTGATCAATACGTGATTTCAAATCGGTGATTTGTTCATCACGAGCATCAAGTATTTCTTCTTTTTCATCCAACTAAATTGGAAAAAAAATAATTCAAAACCATTTAAACAAATCTAAATATTCCAATGAATAGCTAGCTGTATGTCTGTTATTATAAACATTACTATTTATTGTTTGAAACTATCTAGTTTAATACAAATTATTCGTTTGAATGGAAATATCCACTGTTGTATATATTATGCTTGTCATTTGATATGCTTGAAACTATTACGAGTTCACCTTGGTTGATCAACGAAAGGGAAAGACAAATGATCCAGTGACACGATAGGCTAATCTAATCCGAGCGTCCCAGGGCTGTACCAGGTAGTGGAAGAAGTACTGATAGGCGTAGAAAGTGTATTTTACAAGCACCCGGAAAATTGAGGTTCACAAGCACTCAAATCGGGTTTATTTACATAAACGTCTTTGGGAGAGCTACAAAAACAGCGTACTAAGATAATATGCTAACCAGTAACAGCCAAGGAGTTTCCGACTAAGAAATGTAATCTCAAGGTCTGCTAATCAGCCCATGCTCGAAAACATTAAATCCAAAATTGGGACCTTTTCCAAGTGACTTATGGGAGATCTAACGTCCCCAACAGTATATCAGGAGGATTTAACAAAAAAAACCACTTTACTCTTCAAAAAATATACATGTATGCAAAACACCACATTTTGCTCATAGTAAAATTATTCATCAGACTGAAAATGATTTCTGGAGAATACTGTCTAAAGAAAAAATCTAGGTAAATCGCTTATAAAAATGCTTGACTTTTATAATCCGTATATTTTCATTTGACTATCATCGGTCATTATCAAAACTGTTCGCTTGGTAGTAAAGTAGCTAGTTAATCATTGAAAATGTAGAGATTTTATGTTAAATTATATCCATTTTTGACAAGAAGAAGTTGGATAAACATCAAATAGGCAGTATGTACCTTTTCTTTGCCCGACAATGTACATTCATGCAATAAAAACAATTATTAGTTAGTTGTATCATAGGATTTCTTACTTATTTACAATTCTAAGAGTAATCTAATAATTCAGAAAGAGATAATTTAGCATAACTAAAAAATATTCAAACTTTTAAAGACAAACTCCAATCGATAGATACAACTCTCTGAAATTCTCTAGTTTATGTTATTCAATAGCAGTCTATTGATTGTAATTTCACTGCTTCAAATTGAGTTCTTATCACTATATATTGGGAGACATTAGATCCTCAGAATTCACTTGGAAAAGGTCCTAATTTTGGATTCTTTAGGGTTTTCGCGCATAACTTGCTCAGTTGACTGTTGTTGGTTGGTGTATTATTTCAGTACGCTAATTTTGTGGCTGTCCCAAGGATATTTCTATCATGCATAAATAAGCTCGACTCGTGTGTGCTTGTCGACCTCGTATTTTCTGAGTGTTTGTATAATACACTTTCTATGCCTTATCAAGTCTTCTTGATATTGTTAGCCAGGCCGTGGATAAACGGATTAGAATAGCCGATCGTGTCACTGCATCGTTTGTCTTCGATCTGTTTACCGACTATTGTAAACTCGTAGTAGTTTCAAGCGTATTAATTGAGGAGCACTATCTGGTAGTGGAAAATCTTGCCACACTCTTATTATAATGCTGCTACGTATAGCTATTCATTCCTAGTGGCGTCCAAATTCAATATCCCAGTACGACCCAAATCTCCTATATCTCAAAACGCAACACCGTGTGATGGAGTTGTTTATTGGGTCGAGTACAGAATAGAGGTAGGCAGGAAAAAACGGAACCCGAATCGTGGAGTCTTACAGATAGTGCGTATTTATACATTTAGGTCGAATAGGAAAGAGCATCAAAGTCTGTGACATTGACAGTTTAGGATGACCAATAGGAAGGAACATTTGAAATGATATTGACAGTCCGGATGACCAATCAGAGACAACATTGAAGTATTTGACTTTGACAGTGAAAACGATCGTAATTTTGACCAATAGAAATCGATCAATAGGATTATACTTCCAAAAATAGTACTCTTAGGATATTTGGTGAATATCCTAACAACTCTGAAATTATAACTCGTTCGATAGTAGACAACTACTGGACGGCCGTTTCGTCCTTATTAGCAGTGTGCATTAACAACCATGCTTGCGGAAATCCACTACAGAACCGTCGGTCTCACACGCGAACGCTTATAACCTTTAAACCTTAACCAGTTTGCTTTAACAATATTAAATTCATGGCATATAATTAACTCTTCTAAAATTATTTTATTTTTCCACAAGTCAAGAAATTAATAAAATTGATAACTGTGAAACATCAATAAAGGCTATTCATTTGGTTACTTATTTCTTATCAATGATAGTTGTGTTCTGCTCATTTATCACTTACTTCTTTTTGCAACACTTCACTTCGTTTACAATCAAGTTGTTTTGCATAATTTTGATCAATACAAATATTTGGTTGAGATGCTAATTCTAAACGTTTTTGTAGCATAAAAGTACGTTGATGTTCTTCCGAAAGAAGTTTTTCCAAGCATCGAATTTTCTGTTGTGTATCCTAAATAAATAATGATTAGGTTAGTAATTTATAATTTTTTTTGGGGGGTCAGCAGGAAAACACACAAAGATAATAAAAAAAAATGAAATTGTACATTAGAAAATCGATAAAATTGTAAATTCCAGTGAATTGACCTGTAATTACTAAACTCGAAAAAGCTATCTGACAAGTTCTGACTCTAGTGAGAAAACGTATGAAATATGCTTGAATTACACATCACGATAAATACACTAATTTATTAGTGTATTGATATTGCATTGCGGGGTTGTTGTGAAGATTGTCAAGTTTTATTTGTAACCATGAATCGATCAATGTTAGACCACCAATAGAAACCTGGAAGCACTGGACGGCCGTTTTGTTCTGGTATGGAACTCATACAGCAGTGCGCATCCACGACTCCTGCACCCCGCAGGATTCGAACCCAGGATCTTCGGGATTGTGCGCGAACGCCTAACCATCTGACCACTGAGCCGGTATCTAACGGTGTTAATGTCTAACTTGATCAAATTCATTAAATGTACCGAAGATCCTTCTAAGCTCATCCAAACTTATCATTAATTTTATGCCCTAGATGTAATCTATAAGTGGTCATATATATTATCTCGTTATAGATTCTGATATTCTGAACATAATAGACGCATAAAATAAGTCTTAAGTCACACATCAAATAATTTTTTTCTATTGTTCGTAGGAGTTTAAATTTAACGTTTTGTTTGTATCAAGTATTTGAGGAAGTGAAAACTTAGGAGTGAAAAATTCAATGATTTGATAGAATATTGAAGTAACTGTGAAGGGAAGCTGAATTGCTTTATTCCTTCAATGGATTCATCTCAATCATCAATCAATCAACAGCAACTTAGAACTTCGTACGTACATACATCAGTTCATGTTACCATACCACATTAGCACAGAGATGTTCTTGTCAATTCAAATCCAATAGTAGTAGAGGTAGTAAAAGTATTAGCAGTAGTTTAAGAGGTCACGATTAGAAGATATTAGTCAAGAAGTAGAATCTAGTGAAATAGACTTAAAAAGATAAGGATAAAGTGATGAAGAATTAAAAAAAGTTTAGGATTTGAGAGGACACAAACAATGAATGCACCTGAGCCACTGCAAACCGTTTTGAGACATGTCATTCAGGGCCTCTAACTATCGATTACTAACATCTTACGGACCACAACCACGTAGTCGACACCTACCGACATGACTCAGTCCACTTGTCAATGACTTCATGGATTTGTGTCATGTTTTGTTCTGACCGCCTCTAGCTTTCTTCCAACCTATTCCTACATGGCGAAATATAGCTTGACGAAGCAGTTGGTGGTTAGGCATATGCAATACATGTCCCAACCACCTCAACTGATGAAGTTTCAATACTTCATCTACTGACCTGCCATCCTTGCCTAGCACCCGTTTCCTAACGACAGCATTGCTTACACGGTTGTCTCAGGATATATGAGCAATGTTTCTAAGACACCTATGATCGAAAACCAGTAGTCCTTTAGTCAGCAAACGGATATCTCGCCTAAATATCACTCAGCCAGTCGTTAAATAATCTATTTTAATGTTGTTTTTTGGGTAACACTTTGAGAAAGTATTGATCAGTGAAAAAAATGCAGTAAATTATTGTTAATAAAATCTTTTTAGGCTCAAAAACTCACTCCTATTTTAACTGATTCACTTGAGAGTTCATCAGCTTTCTTAGTACCAGATGACTTATCTTCCGTGGCGTAATTTACATTGAGAAGACTGAAATTATGTAAAAAGAAGAATAGTGATAATGATTATTTGGTTTGTTTAATTGAACTTGGAACTTGGTACACTTATAGATTGGTTCAAGCTAGAAGTAGTAGTGTGGTGTGTGCTGCTTATACGAAGGGACGTGAAAAAAGTTGCACGGTCAGATTGTAAATTAGCACAATACAATCTTCGCGACATCATCCGCCTGTCTCTCACACGCCACCAAGGCCACTGTTGGGTTCATCAGCTGCCTCGTTAATTTTGCCAGCTCGGTGAACGCCGCACAACCAATGGACGTCACCTAGCTGGCAAAAGTAACGAGACAGCTGATGAACCCAACAGTCGCCTCGGTGGCGTGTGAGAGACAGGCGGATGATGTCGCGAAGGTTACACTCTAAGTCAGTTAAAAACGAAAACATTACATTGAATACTCTATTTGCACACCATCTTTGAGTCGTGACTTCTTCCATTCCTGTTGTTGCTTCTTTTCCTTCCTGTTGGTACTCCAGTTACTTCTTTCGTTTGCTCCATTTGCTTTCCGTTTTTCTCTTCTGACCGTGCGACTTCTTCTTTCACGTCCCTTCTTATACTACTTATATCGTTCGTATAAGTAGCACACACCACGGTAGTAGTAGTACAAAAAATCATACATACCCCAACTAGGCGGTAGTTCGCACTTACACAGAATGATCAACTTATCAATGACGTAATGAAGTGAACCTATATGTATGTTAACTCCTAAATTCTGTAAAGTCTACTCCTATACCAGATATCACCATTCATCGCAGTATGGAATTTTCTATCTACGACAAAACATTTTAACTAATACTTTATTATAAAAATGGTTCTTCAGCTAGTGTCAATCCATATGCTAGTTATTAAACGAAAAATAATGTTTTTATATAAATAAGCTATTTTCCAGTACATGGAGATAATCGGTCTATCCGACTAATGTCACGAAATTTCCTGGCTAACATTCACATGATGAATACCAAGAGTGGTTAGTACTGTATATTGAGTTAGCATTAATTTATCTACTGGAAACTGTCACCAATCACCCTTATACTCTATTTAAGTCTACTTGACATGGTTGATTATAGTGTCACTTGATCAATAGAATTCTATCAAAGCTAAAAATCAGCCAGCATGATATCGATCGCAACAGCCATTACAAATAGACAAGATCAGTCAAATTTGAATAGATCAGTAGTTACACTTAGTTCTGCTGGCTAAAGTGTAAATAGTCCTCAAGGCCCGGTGACAATTAATATGACCCCCTAAGGTTGAAGATGTGTTAGCGATTACTTCATTTTAACTGATGCACTCTAAGATTACAGATAATCATGTTTAATTTTTACTTAGATATGAATATATATGGGCCTTTTTTCATTGCATAAAAAAAAACCAATAAACGGATAAAAGTGATGTGTATGTATAAATATGCAGATCGACCCCTATTTCTTTTTTATAATTTTCTTTCACCATCCATCAATAGAATTCATCATAATTATTATACAAAATTCATTTAGATTATCGATTGATTTATAGGGAATCGCTACTTGTCTACTAACACATTTTCTTTCCAACATGATTGTTTTTGTCTGTTGTGAAAATGTGCCCAGTGAAATTATCAATGAGATTCAAGTATATGATTTTTTCTATTGGTCAGTAAGTTATAAATAGACTTAACAAATCGATAAGATACCTTTTTTTCTATTGGTTGGCTAGTTGTTATATTCATGATAATACCCTATTTTTTTTTACAGTGTACAAAATGAATTTGATTTCAGACTAAGTATTATTAATCAAAATTATGAATTGCAGTAAATTGTAACAACAGAATATTTCAATGACTAATCACACATTCACACACACACACACACACATAAATTTTATTTTTTACAGAGTTCAAAATTTTTCAGCGTATTGATTCGAAAGTAGAAGTGATTACCCATCAATAAGTATTTCTATCTTAGTTTATCTCCTTCTACTGGACTGCATAGCCTTTCTGTGGTATTTAGACCATAAAGTATTGTCTAACAATAATAACAATTCTATTAATTTTCAGAAACATAGAGCTGATGATAAGAACCGTTCGTTGGTTGTTTTGTCCTTATTTAGTAGTTGTACATAGTTTAAGAACAGTGAATAAATTGTCTTTATGTAGTGGCTATTTTATACAGATTTTTCAGTTAGATTCGTATTGAATTCTGTATGTCTAATAAATTTTTGAAAACACGAAGCTTATTTCACACCGAATTCCACACGTAATTGATATTCAACTGTTCATCAATTTTCAAATTAACGTTGTTGTGTTTTACTATGTACTGTCTGAGTTTTAGGTACCAGGAGTGAAGTAAAATGCAACGCTCCAGGGAATGTCGATCCATATTCATATTATCTATACCAAGTCACCGTCTACCGTGACGTAAGTCATTAGAGCTTGAATAGACAGCCTTGTGAGTATTAGCATTTATTTGACCACATCATTCATAAGATTGTGGCTATCTGAACTCAGTAAGCAAGTGGATGTCGCAATGGCGTTCGAAGTGAACCTCACTGGATTCGAGTTTCGCCAACAGCATAAACTCTGATCTGCAAGTAATTGATATGACGAGTCCTACTGTTAGCCACTAACCATCTTTGCTCATAATCAGTTTATATTCCACTAATATTAAAATTTTTTCAATAAACATTGTAATCATCGATGTAATGAGTCATAGAATCAATCTTACCTGCATGTTTCTAATAAAAGATTATTATTTTGTTCTTCTAACATTGTCAACAATTCATTGAATACTGTACATTTACTTTCTAAATTATTTAAACACTTTAATAGATCACTTTCACGTCGATTCGATTCAGCATAATTTTCTAATGTTGACTCTTCAAATTGTTTAAAATGAAGTTGTACATTATTTAATTGTTCACGTACTGTAGTAATTTCATTTGTTTTATTCTCTATTTTGATATAAATCCAAAAAAGACAAATAAATCGATGATATTCGAAGAAGAAGAAGAAGAAGAGAAAACGTTTATTTCAAATAAAGAGAAATTTTCACTTATCAATGGAATAGTCAACAGATTATGATAGATTTGCGTTACTTAATGAAAAATAAAAAGTGTAACGATACTACTACTACTACTACTACTACTACTACTACTACTACTAAGTTGTTTAAAATTTGTACTGTGAACTTCGCTGAACAATTTTATACAGAGCTTTAACTGAATCATTAATCACGCTAATGCACAGTCAAAAAAATTTGATTAGCACTAAAGAACGATACAATCTAACTCAGTGATCAATCAACTGTAACAGTATCTCAATCTTAAGATGTTTACCAAAGCCTAAGTAGATCAATTGTGATATTTTCTTACACTTTGAAGCTAAGTGAGGTTGGTTTGAATTTACCAAGAAGAATTATGTATCTAAAGATTTTAGATATTTTTTTTCTGACAGAGAAAACAATTTAAATGAAAGATTCCCTGTTGACCACTTTATACTGACATCCAATGTCTCAACTTTGTGTACCTGATTCGGCAGAACTATTGATCACATTACCATAGTAATCAATAGGATTTTATCAACATTATTTTACGATAATATTCATTATTCAATGATTAATCAGTACACCTGTTTTCCTACTATCCACTTGAACTTTTGCCTGTTATATGTAGTTACGTAATCTTTTTCATTTCATTGTGATTATCACTCAAATTGTCTTGATTGGTTTAACATTTTCATATAAATATTCATGTATATTAGAGTAAAGCCTGGTGACGACCTAATCGAAAACAGTAATATTGTTCGCTTATATGTGTTGTTCTAATTTTCACAATGGGAATCTTTAAAATTCTTAATCAGTTGTTTCGTTCTACTTGTTTTCATTGATTTCAATTGACATTGATAAATTTTAGTAAAATAAAAATTCAGTGTCATCAAAATTGAATTGAAAACAAGTTTTATGTGTTAGTTATCCCTACATTTCGGAGAATTTTTATATTACACTAATGAAACATGTATTTTGACTAGAAAAAATACCATCACATTGAATTACAGTAAAATTGTCCAAAAGTTAAAAAAAAGGTTTTCATTAGTGGTTAGTTAGTTTAGCCAAAAGTGGAATTAATCAAATGCACATAGATGATTGGGCAATGAAAATTCGTATTTCTTAAAAATAGCTATTATGTAATAATGTTCGACTGTTGACCAGCAAACAATCAAAGCTACACTGCCGACAAGAAATATATATTAAATATATATATTAAAAATTTTTAGAACAACACATATAAGCGAACAATATTGTTTTCGATTAGATCGTCATCAGGCTTTACTATCTAATATACATGAATATTTATATGAAAATGTTTAACAAATCAAGGCAATGTGAGTGATAATCACAATGAAATGAAAAAGATTACGTCACTACATATAATAGGCAAAAGTTCAAGTGGATAGTAGGAAGATTGGTGAACCGATAGTAGTAGGAAAATTTATAAAATATGATAACTAAAGTAGGTCAAAGGTGGATGAATAGAATTCAAATAATCATCAAAAACATCATATAAATATTCATGTATATTAGAGTAAAGCCTGATGACGATCTAATCGAAAACAATAATATTGTTCGCTTATATGTGTTGTTCTAATTTTCACAATGGGAATCTTTAATATTCTTAAAAATTTTTGTTTTGTGGTCAACATTCAGAATGAGACCAATAATAATTTTTATTTTTTAAACCTTTAAACACATATATCAGGGTTGATCATTGTGTTTTCAACTGATGAAGTTCTTCACGATATTATAAGGCTTCCGTTGTTATAAAGTAACATTGATTTCATGAACTGATCAGTGTTAAACAACCATCAAAACCCTAGAAGAACTGGACGATCGTTTCATCTTAGTATGGGACTCACTAGTAGTTCTCATTCAAAACTCGGTACTTTCAGTTTCGTATTGGATTGTTTAACATCTACACTATTGAACCGGCATTCCACGCTGTGCGTGCGCACTTTTGATGAGTCCCATACTTGTACTAAACAGCTGTCCAATGCATCAGAGTTTTTAAAAGTGGTTTAACATCAATCAATTTACGATTTCAGTGATATTCTTTATAATTGGTGTGAAAGGTTTTTCACGACCGTTGGATTTTACCGTTCAAATCAAGAACTAACCTTAATTAGATAACCACTAGACATTTGTTTCATCCCTATATGTTAGTTCTCGTCCATACGCCTTAACAACCCCAAAGAGAGCCTTCAGGTATTATGAAAAAAGTGTAACTTCTAAAGATAGTCGGCGTTTAATTTTCAGTGTTTTCACACTCAAAATGTTCATTTAAATAAAACCAATTCTGCAGGTAAACTGTGATATTCTGCTCTGTTGTCACATCAATGAATGAAGGTGAACCTATGCTGTAGTTATGAATGAATACAAGCCACAGTGTTTTATAACAAAATTCCTTGATTTAACTAACTCATTTGAACACTTGCACCAATTATAATTCTTTACAATCTTACCCAGTTCTTCTTCCAAATTTTTAACCTCTTTAATTAATAATTCTTGACTCATTAATTCTAAGCGTAGAGTACGTGTTTTACAACTTTTTACTGGTTTTTCCAACATTTTTTCATAAGCGCGAAGTTTCACATTTTCCTCTTGTAATTCAATCAGTTTCTTTTTCATACGTGATATCTATGAAAATACATAGAAAACAGAGAGAAAAAATCGAACAAAAGTAGTTACAAATGTCAGGAACAACTAGTGCAAACAATTTTATTGTGCCTTTACACTGACTCCGCCTGTGGAACCTTCGAGGCTACTGTCGATTCCACGCCAGGATAAAGGAGGAGGATTGGGCATAAGGTTGGGGACTCCATCCCAACAAAAAAATAACTTGCCAAAGAGACGCTAACCAGAAAAAATAAATCAAACAATTTTAACTCTGCCCTGGGAATTGGAAGAAGAATTATGACATCTCGTGATGAAAGCCGAGTTCCGTCGGAAGTCACGAGGCCGATGCCTCTTCTGACAACCAGAGCAACCATTCTTTTAGGTACATGGAACGTTCGTACATTGTGGGAGACTGAAGACTATTTCAAGTTGCTGAAGAAATGGGAAGATACAACCTGGAGGTGCTCGGGATCAGTGAAACACATTGGACACGGGTAAGACAACTGAGATTAGCTTCACGGGAACTGCTGTTATACTCTGGTCATGAAGAGGAGTGCTTCATGTACACAAGAAGTTGCACTGATGCTGTTCACATTAGCCAGTAATCAGACGGTTTTCGATTAACCAAAATGCTACTTCTTACTAGAAATACATCCCAGTACTAAGTTGTCTCAACCTGAAGAGCAGTAATAAAGACCAATGTCCAACAGCCCAAGATTCGTTATTATGCTCAGCAGTACGATAGGCTGTTAAGTTCATCTTATTTCAAAATTGTCGTTCTGTTAGTTGCCCATAACAAGATTATAAACTAGTCTGTCACTTAAAGCGCCTCATTTCATCAATCAAATAATTTTTTTCCCAAGAACAAAATACTTACTTCATTCTCCTGATCTTTCATTGTTTCACGTACATCATTATATTTTTCTAACCAATTGTCAGATTTCTCAAAACTACTCAATACACGTACATCACGAATAATTTGTTTTAATTGTTTACTATTATCACGTAGTTTATGTTTCAATGTTTCATTTTCTTTAAGTGCCAAATCTAAATTTTGTTTATACTCTTTATTCAGCGTTGATTCAATGGATTCTTGAATAATATGTGAAGTGGATTCATCATTCTCTTTAGTAGAAGTTTCTTTATTCGATAAACCAGCTGAAATAACATAAATGTAGAGAAAATTGTTTTTTAGAACAAATCAAGAAATATATTGATTTCGGCGCGCGAACACTCAACCTGTAGATTACTGAACAGGCCTTCCAACCGTGTTGATGTCTAACTTCAAACAACCCTCAGTCGTGTGTAACCTCATCCAAAGCTCCAGGGTTTGATTCACGCATGCGAGGATCATGGATGCTTATTTCTGACCGTGTCCCATACTTGGACAAAATGGCCATCCTTTGCTTTCAGGGTCCTAGTGTAGTGAACAACCGAATCGTATTTAACGAGAATTACAGAGTTACTCAGTAAAATCGGAAAACCATATCTTAACTCGTTAATATGCAAAATATCAGTTCATCATATCGAACTGGACTGTTCCTGTCGCTAAACATCAATCCATTGTCACTATTCATGCATTTCATACAAATCCCATTGTTTTCTAACTCTTTCTTTCTTGATCTTCACCCATCTTCTGCTGCCAGACATTACGTTGACACTCACGTCATATACTACTTATAAGTAGCTCGCACCACACTAGTAGTGGTCTAACAAGGATTGAGCCTAGATTTCAATGTTGAAACAATAACTTCCAAAACTCTATAATGAATATCGTAAGAAATATATTTCTTACAGCATTGATTTATCACATTAATATTTTCCTTTTAATGCCATTTTAATTTCATTATAAACATGTAAACATTTTTATTTATAACCATAAATGAATATAGAATAAAATGAATTAAACTCACATGTATCAAGATTGTTAGTATTTTGTGGTGAACGATTCGCCATAATCACTGATCGATTATTAGTTTCTGTGTTTAGTTGATTTCGCATTTGTTCATCGACTCCAGACAATTTAGTTTTGTTCAATTCTGAATTCATCGTTGACTTCGCTAAAGTGGTTGGTACAATTTGTTGATCTTCAACATTTTCAATTAATCGATTTTCACGTGTCTACACAATGAAATTGTTAAAAAACAGAAAGAAAAAAAATTCCACAAACTAGTTTAATATGAAGTAGATATTGAAATGTGGTATAAAATTCCAAGAATTATTGAACAATTTACTGATTTGAATGATCAACAAGTATTTTGAAGGTAAGATTCATTCATAGTGTGGTGCGCGCTACTTACAAGTATTATATGACGTGAGTGTCAACGTAATGTCTGGCAGCAGAAGATGGGGGAAGATCAAGAAAGGAAGAGTGGGAACACAATGGAATTTGTATGAAACGCATGAATAGTGAAATATCAGACAATGGATTGATGATTTGCAAATTAACGGTTTACGATATGGTTTTACTGAACGATTCAATATTATCGTGTTGTGTTTTTCAAGTTACAGGTTAAGATACAAGTGGAAACTGTCAAATAGTTGATCATTATTAAATCCATAATGACTGAACTTGGAAATGGAATATCTTGCTTGCACCAGTAAATCAGCTTTTAGTGTTATAGTTCTAACTTTGGCCAATTTCTAATGAAAATCTTTCGATGTTCAAGTCGTCGTTTCGAACTTTAAGAACATCTTGAAGCAAAAGGGAGTAGGCTATTATAATCTACTTGAAGAAATGTCTCACTAATGTTTATCGAGAGGATTCTATGAAAGTTGAGGAATAAACGTATTTGATGCTAACCATAAAATGGTCAGTCCGTATACAACTTTTATCCTCGGATGTAGATCTCCACAACCTGAACGGCTCTGACCAATAGTGAGTAATATGCTTTAGGATCTCAAGAGGACTAGATGTTTTCTAGTGTCTGAACTTACAAATTACTGACCAATACCAACTAGTTGCAGCCTCCAGATCCCACAAAACATCCACTATATGTTACTGCTAATATTTTCAAAATGGACAATATTATCATTTTAAACTTTTTCTTTGTTCTTACTTGTGATGTAACAATTTTTCCCATCTTTTTAGATAATATATCATTTTCTGCTTGTGATTCTTTTAATCGTCTTTTCACTTTACGTATTTCTTCTTCAGCAAAGCGTAATTGTTCTGATAAATCAGTTTCACGTTCTCTAGCCGCTTCTAAGTCACGTTTCATTTGATGCTCTTCAAATGATTCTTCACGTGATAATGAAACGCCTTGTCGAGACTAAATGGGAAAAAAAATAGTCATTGTCATAAAAAAAAACCGGGATGCTTAAGCGAGTAGAATAAAATCCAATTAGTTTGGTCATTCTAGCCGTTAATATCAGTAACGAAAATGTTTTGCGATCTTTTCAGGACTGAAGTTTCGTTATGGTTTTGTTGGGATATATGCAAATTGAACGGATTGTCTCGATTAATTACTTAGCCACTACCAACTTATAATCTGAACCATTATTTACTTGACGCCTAAATATGTATTGACTAAATTACTAGGTATCTGTAAGATCCATTTTTGAAGGTTTCGTTTGTGAAAAGCCCTCCATTCATACATTTGCAATATGTCCCTATTGATTCCTTTAGTTCCACATTTTGTGAATCTGTTCGATTCTAATTTGAGATGATAATATTTGTATTTTATTATAGTTTCTATTTTTTTGCTTTGATTGAGTTTCTGTGTTTCTTTCTGAACTGTATTATGTTGTTTAAGCTGATACTCTTAGTCTTGGCGGCAGCCATATTGATTTGTTCCTCTTTTGATTGGGTTTCGTGCTTGGACTGGAATTGTGCATTTTGATTGTGAATTGAAGCACTCTTCCAGAATAGGAAACACTCTGTGTTATAAAGCAACCAAATATTATCTGTCTAACGAATCTGATCTATCCAGGAGGGATAGAATATCATTTATTGGCTGTGGATTTGATTAATTGAACAATTGTTGGTGGAATAACTAAGTGGTAATATTGTTTAGGTGATGATGTCAATTCACAATAGAACCGTCATTTACCCAAATCATTGGTTTTGATTTGAACTGGTCAAGACGCGTATCTAAACTACTCGGACAGTTATTTCTCAGTCCAAACCTCAGTTTGGATCCTACAGTACCCATTGATTCAGATTGGTGTTTGAAGCGGAAACGGATTGATTCCAAGTTTAAATGAGAATGAAGATACTGGTATGAAGGTTAGCCCTACTGATGAGTTTGGAGTCGGACTTAATGCGTAATATAGATTCTACCCGAATGACCATGTGCTAAGTAGTGTCACTTATCGATTTCTATATATTCGAAGATAACTTCCATCACTGGATGAAATCTGTTGAAAAATGGGCTCATACGTCCAGTTAGTCTGAAACATGGGTTTCGATCTATTCTATAAACCTTAAGTAGTGTTCATGTAAGACATTTTTCAAACAGTGTTCGAATCCCACATATATCAACAATGATACAATCGGTTCGTTTGCTTTAATCAAACTATACAAACTACTGATTATTCATTTTAACCATTTACTCTAAAATGTAATACATTTTATTGTAAAATTAAATAAAACAATAATTGTACTAATTAGAGTCTTCAACTTTAAACAACCCAATAAATTAAATATATATCGCACATAGAATCTACCAAAGTTAATATGTACTAACCACACATATGTTTGCTTTCGCAACTAGAACTACGTATAATTTGAGAGAGTTTTAAATATTTTAGAAAAAATTTATTACATTTCCAGGTGTTTGATTTAATAAACAAATTGTGTGTACAATTATAAATTTTTACTATGTTGAAACATTTGGTCAGATGTGCATCAGATGATCTTGTAGTGCGATAATCATCATTTCATCGCAGTTTGGAAAGTGTAAACAATATGCTTTTAAAAAACAATTTCGGTATTGAAGACTTTCAGTTTTTGTGCAGAGGACTTAAAGTTTTTAGACTATTCTATACAAAACTATTGGTAAAGTTATTTCTTTAATCTATGGATTTTTAATATGGATGGATTTCAGTTGTTAGAACGCTTCCTGCGAAGACCTAATAGGACAATTCAAATCATCAGATCTTTTAAAAGAACTAAGTCATCGAACACAGACGTTATACATATACATTTATGCTGTTACAATCTCCGATCCAAGATAGTTCACTAAATAGAACCAATGTATTTCTTTTCAGTAATTTGGAGACTGTATCAACTGGTTTTTTTTAAAAAAAAAATTAGAAACACATAAATTTAAGAGCAACATTTTCATGAAAGAGTTTGGGAGACTATCATCGTCCTTGAAGAGAAGGAAAGAGTTTTAATGTTTAGAAAAATTACCAGATGTAAAATTCGATTATCTGTGGTGCTGTGTTGCGAACTACTTATAAGTAGTATATAGCGTGAGTGTCAACGTAAAGTCTGGTAGCATAATATGGGGGGAAGATCAAGAAAGGAAGAGTCAGAAAACAATGGAATTTGTATGAAACGCATGAAGAGTGACAATGGATTGATGTTTGGCAACAGGAACAGTCCAGTTCCATAGGATGAACTGATCTTTTGCAAATGAACGATTTACGATATGGTTTTCCGATTTTACTGACTAACTCTGTAATTTTCGTTAAATACAATTCGGTTTCCTCGACCTGTATTCTCATTCACTACATATCTACACTTTGTACAAAACTCCATCCACAGAAAAATACAATAAATGATGATTGTAAACCGTTTTTGCTGAAAAAAATGCAACCTGGGAAACAGAGAAAAGGTTACTTACTCTATTTTTATCCATCACTTGTAATGGTCCTTTGTCAATGGCACCTTTTTCACTTTTTAATTTATCGAACTGTTAGCAAGCCGAAAAAAATAATATTAAAAAAATCGCAATGTATAATTAGCCTTATTTTCACAAATAAACAGTTTTCACGATATTCTACAATAATCAACATTGATCTTATATAGTTTAAATGTTTTAAGGTCAGTAAATTTAAATGCATTGAGCTAGTAGTAGTCAATTAACGATCTCATATAGTTGGCGAAATCGATTCCTGGATGTAGCAGTCATGGATGCACACCGCTGATGAGTTTAACATTAGAACCGAAACACCGTCCAGTGCCTCCAGTTTTCGTTCGAATGGTAGTCTAACACTGATCGATTCATAATTTCAATGAAACTCAACAATCTCTACAACCTTAGAATGGAAATCAGTGGACCAATTAACTTGACTAACTGATGCTATCTATCACTAAAAACTATGTATGTGTCTTCTTTCCAATAAATATGAATCTGAATTTTTTTCACACTAAAATAATCTTGATTAGAAAAGAAGGAATTCAGCCATAAATCATGTTTTGATTGCTTAGCAATGGGGTTGTTTCGATGCTTTCGGATAGTTTCTATTCATTTGATATGAGATTATCTGTTCTTTTTCAGTGCCTGATAAACGAATAGTATCTTTCAAGCACATTCTTGTTTACATAACAGATTAGTACATCGCACGAATGCTTAATTTTCACTGACAGTTTTACTTCAGTCATCTTGAAACATCAAAATGTCTTCTGTGAATCCCAACCAGTCAGAGGAAAATAGCCAATAAACAGCAAGTCAGGCGGAGATAATTTTCGATGTTCGAAGTGAGATATCTGATCAATGTTGCAGCTTATACGCAGCACGAACTTACTAAACGAATGGAAAAATGCCAGATAGTAATGAATACAACACACTTGTTAAGCTGTAAAACGGGAGTTGGTTGGAATGATTCGACAGAAAACCTGATGTCAAGTCACCTAGATTAATGATCACATTGAATTCAGTCAGCACTAGGAATTACCTGACACAAATGCATTGATCACTACCCATTGATCTACTGTTGAACACTGATACTCAATGCACGTCTTCACTTTAATACAATGCTATTTCACTAAAACCTTCATATAGCGGTTCGATGCATTTACGTTTTTGCGATATCAACAGCATAGTATATATTGAAATTATTGTAACCTTTGTACAGGTTTGTAAATATTTATTTGTATCAGTTCATTTTATCACTGTCTCATTTATCTGTCTTGTTATTAGAATTCAACACGACGGACTCAAATATAGTCTTTCTTGGTTAATTTTTTTGGGTCTAATGTGATGATTTTCGTTTTTAACTTGATTTGATTTTACTCACTCTATGCATCTTTTCATGTGAACATGCAGTGACCGCGCTGCTGTTATAATTCAAGCAACTCCATGCTATCTAATTATTAGAATTTTCACTTGCCTGTTTGATGGATTGAAACAAACTTTAAATGTCAATCAAATACGTCGTTAATGGACGTAAACATGACATCCGTTTTGTATTGTCATATTTACTCGGCAGAAGTCATTTGCAAGTCCCCTTAGTTCGTTCTTATTGACTTATTTTGTCAATTATGTCGTGTTCAAAGCTATGAAATGAATTGGTGTTGATCTAAGGATAGTTGAACTTCAGCATTATGACTTAGTTATCCATCATTGTACTGACTGGGTATCTTAATCCCAGTAATATAACAATTATCAATCTGTCTATCGACCTATCAGCAGAGGTTGAATGAACCCAAACTTATCACCTGCACCAGCTCGTACATGCCAGCTCAACGGCATAGGAAATAAGAAACATGTTAAAGAAGTTATGCTACCTGTAGAAGATTATATATATATATATATATATATATATATATATATATATATCAGCTTCCCATTTATTCATATTTTCCTCACTCACAAATCAGATTTGGCTTGGGTTAAATATAAATGCATACATCAGTTTCGCATCTAATATCCTTAGAACTCAGTTTAAGTAATATTTATTGCATTCAATAAATATTTGATTAAACTATTTTGTTTTACAAATTACCTCAAGTTTAAGTCGTCCTAATTCATTTTCCACTGCAATTCTTTTATTTTGTGATGTTTGTAATTCTTCATTAAGTTGACGATTTTCTTCTTCATAATAAACACGTTTTTCATCTAACAAATCTAATTCATTATTTAAACGTACACCAACTTCTTTGGCTACACGTAATTCTTCCTGTAATAGGGAATTAAAAGAAATATTAATTGATCGATAGTGGATCAATATTATTCTATAGACTATTTATTTGATGATAGAATTATAGAGATTATGAACGCGCATCTACGACCCTCTCTCTCTCGAAGTGGATTGAACCCAGGACTTTCGGTCTTGAAGACAATGGATGCGATTGCGCAATACTTTAGATTGATTCATGTTTGACATTACCACTGTTAAGAGGCTGACTTAGTCGTCTAGTGGTCGAATATTCGTTCGCAAAACCAAACGTCCAGGTTTCCGTTCCCCTGAAAGAAGATTGTATATAATCACAGCTGATGAGTCTCATACTTGGACGAAACGACCGTTCAGTGCTTTCAAGTTTTTAATGATAGTTTAACAACGGTCGATTCCTAATTTTACTGATATTTATATATTTTTTTCATTTCTTGTCCTAAAATAAAACATCCCTTCAGTTGACGTAAAACGAATTCTACATCTTAAAATAGAATTATCAAACAGTTTTTGTCATTAGACTGTTTTTTGGACTACTTAAAATTTACAATTCAACTACGTCACGCATTATACATCATTTAAAGAAAGATAGTAATCGAAAATTATAAAACAGATTTCTTCAATTATTATCAATTGTACTAGTTTCAGACAAAAGTTTGTCAATGACACATAAGTATATTTATGGGGATTGTGATTGGAATCTTTAGAAATTATTTGAAAATTCTTAATTACAATGTGACTAGATCATGTTTTAAAGTTGATCTTCCTTTTTCTTCTGGAAAAATGCATCATATCTCAGTATATTAGTCATTTATAAGTATATCTGAGAAGATTACAATGTAAGTAATTCACACCTTTTGTCTTAATTTTATGTACACAGTGATGACTAGCGTAGAAGCGGGTTTTTTTCAAAATCTAGTAATCTATGGATTTAAACATATCACCAGTGAAATAGATATTGATTGAGTTGATTCATGAGTTTATCACTGTGGGAAATAATGAACTTGAGATTTAAACTTTCATGAAGCCAGGATCATTAAAACATCCTTCGAAACAAAGGAAGAGGGCATTACAATGAACGTCATCCAATGTTAAGCACGTAGCCACAACATCAGTGAAGATGTTAAAGCTCAATTCCATGAGTGGCTGCAGTCAATCGTCGAGAAATGCTCATCAAAGGAGTTGACCAATCTGATAGGAGACCCAAATGCCAAGGTTGATATGAACAACACCAGATATGAAGATATCATAGCACGATATGGAATGGGAGAAAGGAACGAGAATGGTGAGAGATTTGCAAACCTATTTGACTTCAATAAACTGGTCATCGGCGGCACAATATTCTCACATACACGCATGCACAAAGCCACGTGGATTTCATCGGATCACACCACATGCAGCCAAATAGACCATTTCTGCATCATCAAAACGTTCAAAAAGATTATGGAAAACTTGAGAACCAAGAGAGGGCCTGAAATAGCCTGAAATAGCCACTTTTCGGTCGCAAAGATGAATCTAAAACTCGAGAAACACTGGAAAATGAGGCGAACAGCATCACAAAAGTTTAATCTGGACTTCTTTCAGGATATTGGCTGAACAAGAGCAGAGAAGGCCGAGGCACAAACCGAAGAGGAGCATCAGAGCTGACAAATGTGAATACAAGCTATGACGGTGGAAAAAGCTGCAAGAGAAGGAAACTTGTGACAATTTTACGATACAAAAAAGAAGCTCTCTGGAAAATATCGTAAATCGTAACGACCAGGGAAAAGCAAGGAAGACAAAGCAATCACTAACATGGAGGGACAGAAAAACAGGTGGGTAGAACACTTTAAGAACTCTTGAATCGACCAGCTCCAATGAACCCACACAACATCGAAGCAGCACCCACAGACCTCCCAGTTAATATTAGCGCACCTACGATTGACCAGATTAGTATGGCCATCAGACAAATCAAGAGCGGCAAAGCAGCAGGACTAGACAACATTCCGGCATGTCAAGTAATCAGCTTTCAGATTAAAGAATAATTTTAGTAAGGAATATACAACTCTTATTAGTAAATTATGAAGTGGATAGTTGGAAGAGTTTAGTGTAGGTCCGTTTGCTAGGTAAATTGAATCGCTTAGACATTTTTGTCAGAAAACCGTCCAGGGACTGAAACATATGATGCGATCAGAGTGTAGTGAAGATCAAAAGACATGTGAATGAAGACAGTCAGAAGCCTTCTTGTGTTTCAAATGGATATTTGAAGATTGGATGTGCAGGGTTTGGATTTGAAAATCTAAATCCTACTATTTAGAAAACAATTTCCTTATGATAAATAACTTTAATTCCAATTGTAACAACACACTGTAAAAGGTTCTGAGTGAGTAATTTAATCACGACAATTTTGTACCAATAACACTAATTATTTATCAATCTAAACCGTTTCAGTCAACTGATGTTAGAAGTGTTGACTGACTGGTTTTAAATAAGTGTTTTGTAGTAGTTTTGCACAGTAGTTCCCACCGGATAACTAATAAATGTCTGGTTAGGACTATTCTATCACGTAGGAATCACGGTGTTTCTATCTGATAGATTTTTCTAGGAGGATTTATACGAAAAGAAATATTTCATTATGTTAAGAATTCAGAATTCAACGTTACACTGATACGAAAAAACCACTTCATGATCGAATTTTCATATCGAAATCTCGAATATATTTACTTAACTGCATTGAAGTTTATTAATGCAGATTTCAACAAATGTCATTGTTTTTAATTCAAGCTCTGGTTAATATGTAAACGTATTATGATTAATAATTATCGACTTAACATTTCTATATGATTGAAGTCAATTACAGAGTACCTTAGATGTAGGTTTATCTTTTTCGGCTAGAATTCAACAGTAATGGAATAAATTTCGTCTTCTAGATAATAACTGAAAATATCTATTCTAACAAGATGGTAGACAAACTTTTATTAGTTTATTTTAACCAAGATTCAATGCTGTCATTGTTCAGCGTAGAAACAGTTATGTTATGATCTTCACTTGTGGTGCGAGCTACTTATAAGTAGTATATGACGTGAGTGTCAACGTAATGTCTGGCAGCAGAAGATGGGGGAAGATCAAGAAAGGAAGAGTTAGAAAACAATGGAATTTGTATGAAACGCATGAGTAGTGACAATGGATTGATGTTTTGCGACAGGAACAGTCCAGTTCGATATGATGGACTGATATTTTGCAAATGAACGATTTACGATATGGTTTTCCTATTTTACTGAGTAACTCTGTAATTTTCGTTCAATACAATTCGGTTGCCCCACTTGTGTTCTCGTTCACTACACACTAACTATGATAATATGTGATTATTAGTTTAACTTATTCGACATATTTAAAGTAGACCTAAGAAGGACAAGGTAATGAAGCATTGTTAGCATCAAAGTGATCTGTTAGTATGTACTAGTCTTTATCCCAAGTATAATATACAGTAACATTTAAAACACTATAACTTACAGCTTACTATTTAATAATAATAATAATAATAATAGTAATAAACCGATAATTATGTCAAAAATTTACCTCTAAATTATGTATATGCGCTACATCCGCTTCACTGTACAATTCAGATTCTAATCTTGCTAAACGTTCTTCTAAATTAGCTCGTTCAGCTTCACATTGTTCAAAACGTCTTTCAGCTTTACGCAATTTAAATTGTAATATTCGACAAGCTTTATTAGCTGCTTCTAAATCACGTTGAAGTTCACGTACCGCATCACGATCTTCTTCCTAATCATATAATAATAATGAGAATATATAAAATAGATTATAAATTTTTTAACATTTTGACTAGATTTTAATTGGTCAGTCACTATGAGAATAAGATTTAGTATTAGGAAATACTATAGGTAACTTTTTGATAAGCTGGAAATGTTGCTGGGAGCACTCCATTGGTCAAAAGTTTGGCTTAAATTTCTGAGGAGACAGATAATATCGGGGTTTGCTGATAAAAGCTGGTCGGGCTGATGATTCGAAAGTGTGTGTGCACATTAGTGAACTGGGGCGATTCGAATATAGTTGTTTCATCCTAGTTGAAAATTGCTCATTTATGCATAAACATGCCATGAGAAAGATTTTGAAACTGGACTACCAAGTCAATTGGTTGATACAACGATGATTTGCGAGAAGAATAAGATTCAAATTACTCAATCAGTTTCATTCAAACCACGGTAATCTTTGATCGCACCTCTTGTACAGATGATAATCCTAGGTCAAATAGTTTGTATTCATTTAAATTATCGTACACTTCTTATTTTTAACTGAATTTCTTATACTACTAGTTTTAATTTACTTAAATGTCCAGGTATATCTGATTTGCAAGTCTCAAATAGTTTGCAAGTCGTATTTTGGATTCCACTATTAACCCTATTCAATCTACTCTCCATCAATGAATTGTTTAGGACTTGTACAATTTCCTTAATATTCTTATCAATTGTTATGTCTTTATACAGATTACCAGTAACCTGTGCTATGTTGATAGGCTAGTGTATGTGTACTTAGTTACAATCCATGCTAAATCATATTCCAACCTCTTCCAGTAGAACTGAATTTGTAAAAATAAGATATTAACAGTTTATTAGGTTTTGTAACATGTTTATTTTCTGCAAAATAAGTTGTAGGATACAGCACTGGCATATTTTCCTCCCCTGTTCGAGATATGCCAGTTGTATACATGTTGCATTTCACTGTTGATATCTACATGGAAACCTAAGCTCACAAGGATCGAACACAGTCTGTCATTAGTTGAAAATCTGCCACTCGATATCACGTAAGAAAGCTATTAATCACAATTCTGTCTATAATTTCTCTTATACATCTCAATTGTACCATCAATTTCGAACCGATACAGTCTGAACTCCAAGTGACTCGTTATCATCAAACCTTTTTTCGGTCTTAACAGAAGTCATTAGCCATCCTGTAATGCAAAATATTTCTACCTTCACGCTGGTCTATATATAAACATAATGGACCATACCACGGTATAAATCGAAAAACCACAATTACTTCTAAATACGTTGAAAGTGTCTGTGAATAATTCGCAATAAACCAGAAGTATTAAACAGTACAATAATACAGAATAAGTTGAACGAAAGCTTAACATAGACACAATAAATAAATTATAATTCTATCATTCAGCAAAAATATAATCATTGACGAAACAGTTTCAGACAATCAATCCAATTTACTTAATATTCTTCCTTTAGTAAAAAAAATATATCTCTGATGACAGAAAAAAATTGATCAAATACACACACTTTTATCCACAAACATGTATATATTCCTTGTTGTTACTGTGTTATTGCCGCAATAACTGTGAAATTGTATAGGAACTGCACACACACACACCTTTCGATGATGCAGAAACAACACTGTTTACATAATAACTAAGTGCATTTCAGTGAAACATTAGAGTAGTAATAGTTTTTAAATCATCATCTGTTTACATTATATCACATATCCACCAATATTGTATACCGATAAGAATTCTTTAAAATATATACATATATATATAATGCAGATGTTTTAATACAGTAGTTCAAGTTTCATTATGAAGAATTTTGTTTATAGCAGAGTGATTCATTGCTTTATCTGGTGACTTGAAAAACAACATTCGCTTATTTTTAAGTGTATGTAGGTTTACGGCTCTCTCTCTCTCTCTCTCTGTTTATATATAAACTATAAAGTTCTACCCGTGACTGTTAGTTCGTTTACCATAATATAATTTTATTCCATTCCATTTCTGATGTTTCATGAAAAGTATGCCAAACGTTCAAGCTAAATCGATTCCTACAGAAAGATAACCATTTCTTTCATTGTATCATAGGATAATCAATACATGTGGTAAACACAAAGATAATGATATTCATTTATTCAAAGTATTATTCATCTTAGATAGATTTTTGTAATAAATACTCTAGTAGAGCATTTGTTTTCATTTTCAACTACATTGGGATGACGACATATCAAGAGTGATGTAATTTTCCATAGTTGGAACTAGTCAACTGTCCTCCTATGATGCTGGCTGACAAAAGTATAAGATGTCAGTCATTAGATGTTAACCCAATGGTGTGTTGTTGATTAGGCATTTACTACAAGACTTGAAAGTTGACCGTTCGACTGCTTCCTAGTAATATTGCAGTGAAGGAGAACACAGGTGAGGGCGAACGAATTGTATTTATCGCAAATCACAGAGTTAATTGGTAAAATAGGAAAACCATATCGTAAAACGTTAATTTGCAAAACATCAATCCATTGTCTGATATTTCACTTATTCATGCGTTTCATACAAATTCCATTGTGTTCTCACTCTTCCTTTCTTGATCTTCCCCCATCTTCTGCTGCCAGACATTACGTTTTTTACTCGCGTCATATACTACTTATAAGTAGCGCGCACCACAATATTAGTAGATAGGCACTTCAATAATCTCATTGTGTTGTCATTTCTGGACAAATAAACAATCATCTAACCTAACCTACTTTGATTACCAGAATCCATGCTAAATACCTTTTTTGATCCTTACTAACCTGTTTACATAGTGAAACTGAAACTTATTTGTATTTCCTATGAATCAAGACAGAATAGTTTTTTTCCATACTAATTAACAGAAAAAAACAAATAATAAGCAGAGAAAAAGAATCACTTGAAAATGATCATGCATCTCTTCAATTTCTCGATGCATTTCTTCCACATCCTCTTTTAATTGTTCATTCTCTTCCATCACCTCTTGACATAATTGTTCCACTTCATTAAGACGTTGTTGAAGTTCTGCACTACAATGAATATCAGTGTAACCAATGACATGTTGTTGTTGTTGTTGATGTTGCTGATGTTGTTGTTCCAAAATGGTGGTATTTGGTGAATGATTTTGATCACTTTCTGGTAGTTTTAAACGTTCTCTATAATTTTTTTGAATAGAAAAAGTTTCAAATATGAATACGTGATATTATTTCTATCGTATGAAAAAGCAGACATGAATGTACTTATGAAATCTAAAGTTAATCACCATGACTTAAAGCATACAAATCAGTCAATTAGTTAAAAGCCATCATATACTGTCAAAAAGTTAGAATATTAACTATCTTTCTAACATCTTGTAGTGTGTCGATTTATTGCGTGTTCTAAAGCTCAGTGATTAGCTCGTCCAGACAATCGTTACTAAATAGCGTCTGACGGTTTTTTAAATCAGAAGATAAACTCGAAGTGTTGAATATGTTTATTTGAGACACATCACAAAGCGAAGCGGAGAAGCAGTGAATACAACGAATGAAGTGACGTGAACTAGAGAAGTCTGTTGAGCCAATTCCAAAAGATAGAGCATGACTAAGAATATATATCAGACAAAAATAAGACAGACATGTGACAAGCGAAATAGGCATGTACACACATGAATAAAAGCGACGAATGATTGACAAGGTCAAATGACAAGTGGAACACGTCATGTGAGCTCATACAAACCAGACAATAATTAAGAACGAATAGTACATATAAATTGTTGCAATACAAATGGCTTGGTTGCATAAGTCAGTCGAAAATGCCTAATCAAATTAAATATGAGCGAAACTCAAGTTTATGTGGAGGCGCTACAATCCATCTAGGTTCATAAATTAAAAACAGAAGAATAATGTATGGAATCAAATGTATGGTGACTTATTTATTCATTTCGAAACCATGAGTCGATCAATGTTAGACCACCATTAGAAACTTGGAAGCAATGGACGACCGTTTCGTTCTGGTATGTGACTCATCAGTGTCAGTGAGCATCCACGACTCCAGTAACTCGCAGGATCGGAACCCAGGACCTTCGGTTTCAAGATATGTGACTTAACAATCTTCACAACCTCGCGATGACTTATTTATAAACGATTTTAGTACTGGTGCAAGCTGTTTCCGTGGTGCTTTTGCGGACATTAATGAATTCCTATATGACACCGGTTCAAACGTCATCTATGTGGCTGACAATATTATCATACTAATTTGTATGATATATAAGAGTAGGTAGAAATTTGGATTACATAAAATTTGTCAATCGATGAAGATAAGCTGTACTACAGAAGACATATCATCTCAAGTAAACACTTCTGTTTAATTGGAGTTTTGTTCATTCAGCTGTTCTTCAGGTATCTAGTAATTTACGTCTATACTTGACCATTAAAGATTATGCTTAACAGCCAATCAAAATTATTTCATAGTATGCTCAAACTCTGATTGGTTGATTATCGAGCTTTAACTATAGATATATGGAATTCAATGATCAATTTTTACTGCAAACTATATTGAATAAAATGTTCAGTTTCAAACAACGACAATAAGAACAACAAAAAAGCAATAAAATATCAACTAACCGATAACTTTTCACTTCTTCTTCTAAATGACCACAACGTCTTTCAAGATGTGAAACTTTTTCACGATATTGATCTAGTGTCGCTTGTAATTCACCGATTGTACGAATTTTCACTTCTAATTCTAAATTTAATTCATCACGTTCTCTTAATAATAATTCATGTTTATCTTCTAAAGCGAAAAAATCATTTTCTAATTCTTCCACATATCTTGCATCAATACTTGATGCCGATGAATGATTAATACCACCGATTGTAGACGATTGTCCAGTGGTTGGATTAATAAGATTGATTGATTTTCTAATTTCATGATTACGAACATCGGAATCGGAATATCTTTTTTTTAATAAATGGAAAGAATTAAAAGGAAGTCCATTTAATGAAATGCGGAATTTATTCTGTTTTAATTTTGAAAGAATAAATGTGATTCCAGCAAATTAATGTTTTAAACTGTAACAATCAAGATAAATTGATACTCATAAGACTAAACTATAAAGCACCCACAACTGAACAGGTCAATAAAATCTTCAAGTTTCACAGCGAACTTAAGACCGTTAGAACCACTAGATTTACGTTCAAAAGGACAATTTCAACTTAAATTAAATCATCGGTGAAAACTGTTCAACTAATAACATATTTTTGTGCTACATCAGTCTCAAATTTATCACATAACTTGCTGTAATTGATATCTATGGAGAAATTGAAGTTATTATTTCTTCAATGTTGATCATTTCAATTGAACAAGTAATCATATTCCGCCTGGATCCCTTCTGGGGCTACTGCTGGTCTCAAGCCCAAGATAAAGGAGGATGTTTGGGCATGGGGTTTGGCGACCACATCCCGTGGAAAATTAACTCGGTGAAAAAAACGTCAACCAAAAAACATAACTCAAACCATTTTGACTCTGCCCAGAGTGTTGGACATGGAGGCTCAGGACAGAGTAGGTTGGAGAGTACTGATCGGCGGACTATGCACCGTGGGGGTTAACATACATAAGTACGTAATTAACTTAGTAGATAAGTAAATAATCGGAAATAATGAAATAAATGATAAATCCTAATTAATATGGTTTGCAGTCTTTCAAATGTCTATACAAATAACTAGATAATCGATACAACTTTTATCGATCCTAAACTGAAAAAAAACACTCATGAAAAAGATGTAATGGTGTATTCTGGATTGTAAAACTATGGAAAGTGTGTTTAAAATAATTCTCTATTGGTTAGATGAAATACATTCTTATTCAATATTATTTCTCAAACGATTGTCTCAATTAATGTCTCATCTTTTTCTCTGAAAAAAAACAGAACAACGGGAAATTAATTATGTGAGAGCATCGTCTTTCTGAATGGTACTCGTAACAGATAGCTAGGTTTTGTGTATGGTTCAATTGCTGGACTTCATCCTGTTGCAAAAGAATCATCAGTATCAATGAAAATGGTCATCCAGTTAACCAATTCTGTGAAGGAGAACAGAAGTGAGGGCAATCCAATAGTATTTATCGCAAATTACAGAGTTACTCAGGAAAATAGGAAAAACATATCTTAACCGTTAATTTGCAAATCTTCAATCCATCATCAATCCATTGTCTGACATTTCACTGTTCACGCATTTCATACAAATTCCATTGTGTTCCCACTCATCCTTTCTTGATCTTTCCCCATCTTCTGCTGCTGCCAGACATTACGTTTTCACTCGCGTCATATACTACTTATAAGTAGCGCACACCACAAATGGACTGTTAGCAATACTTGCCAAAGCAATGCCAAGCCATCCACAACATTCACAACCAAAATCCTATATATTCGAAATATTTTTTTCTAATAAAAGAGACTTTGAATCATTTATTATCAAGCAGTTACTGAAAAAAAAACTAGATTGTTCTAAATTAGAATTTTCAACTATTGAATAATTTATTGATCAGAATCAAGTTTACGTGACAATAAGTTTTTATTGACTGAATAGTATTCTTAAGTTTACTTTTACTCATAAAATAACAGACATAGTACAATAACCTTTAACAATCTTCATTGATTGTTCTGATTTAAAACTGAACTACATTGTTTTAAAAAATAGTATACTCGTTGATGTATATTTAAGCTGTGAATAATTTGCAGTTTCTTAACAGATTTGTAAATGATTCTTTAGTCTGTTTTACAATCGCTGCACATTAATTAATAGTTTATGTGGAATTATGTTTTAATGTTCATAAGTAATCTATTCATGTAGATGAAGGTGTCACTGGTATTACTAACTCATATACCAGGTACGGATTCTTGTATATTATAGGGCTAGTGATGCTACCCGATCGAAGATCAGGCAGGATTCGAATCTGTAACTTAATAGTTACCTTTCCGTATAGTAAAGCTAGTATACTTGTATATGTTGATTTTATATTGATATCCTACAAGATCACTTGTTTCTAGAGTGTTTACAATAATGTAGTGTATTCTAGCTTGTATTCTATTTGAGTTATCAACTGTCGCAAATGAACCAGGCTGATAACTTCATAGTTCTTTTGATACTCTATAATGGATCTTTAGTAAAATATGTCCACAGCTCTGTTAGTCAGTTATCTATGGTTTACATTTCCAACCTTTAAACGGTTTATTCTGTATAGCCATTTTTTTCTTAAAGTGAAGTAACAACTCAACAAAGGCAATAGATTACTAATCACGTAAATGGAATCAGTCTTTGAAACTATCAGTCAAACTGAAATCTAAGACACTTTATTAATACAAGTAAAGTAGATTTGTCAATAAAAATACTCCTGTCATACAATATTAATTTTCAGTTATTATTTTAAAATAATTTAGTCAGAGTTATGAATTACAACACGTAACAAAAATAGCCAACCTTAAATAGTAATAGAACAAAAAATATTAATGTACAGCATACATTACTCGTAATCGATTTTCAGATAACATACTTCATTAAGGGTAATTCGTAACGTAATCTAGAATATTCAACAACTACCACCCCCTCATAAACTCAGAAATCCATGAAGTCACAGACAAATGGACTGAGTTATGTCGGTAGGTGTCGACTACCTGGTTGGGGTCTGCAAGATGATTGTAATCGATGATTAGAGACCCTGAATGACATGGCTTGAAATCGATTTCAATAGCGCAGGTGCATCCACTCTTATTGTTCTGTCAAATGCTAAACTTCTTAATTCTTCATCACCTTTATTTTTTTTCTTTTTAAGTTTATTTCACTAGATTCTACTTTTTGAATCATGTCGTCGAACCCTTAAATTTCCGATTATTGCTAATAACTTTACTAACTCTACTACTATGGGATTTGAAGTGACAATTATGTCTCTGTGCTAATGTAGTATGGCAACTTGAACTGGTGTATGTGCGTACGTACGAGGTTATACGTTACTGTTGATTTATTGAATGATTGATTGATATAAACTCACAAAACCCATAACATGAGAATTCCCCAAATTTAATACTGTAACAAGGCTGCAATAATGATACTCATATACGAAATAATAAAAAAACACAATTCAAATAGAACAGAAACTGACGTAAAAATAATGAGAAATTGCTAAGAATAAACAATTGGTCAACTACTACTATAATCTATTTGACTAGTCAATCAAATGAATTAATTTCCCATTTCAACTACTTGGTCATATATTTGAATACTGAAAATTGCAATACATTGGCAGTTTGAAAAAAAAGTGTATGAGGTTGAGCACTTCCGTGAATTGATCAAGTTAGACATAAATACCGTTAGATACCGGCTCATTGGTCCAGAGTTTAGGCATTCGCTCACATTACCGAATGTCCTGGGTTCGAATCCTGCGGGGTGCAGGAGTTGTGGATGCGCACTTACACTGATGAGTCCCCCATCAGGACGAAACGGCCGTCCATTGCTTTCAGGTTTATAGTGGTGGTCTAACATTGATCAATTCATGTTTTCAAAATGCGTGAAAACGTTATAGAATACTATTTTCTCTAGATCAAAATTAGTTTGGAAATAATATTAGAGTTACCTTCCAGAATAGCCGAATTTGTTAGGTTTAATCTGTATTTCAGTCATCATATCATATCACCAGGTGTGATTGTGTATCAGTCTAAGCAATCACACATCAAAGCGGCATGCCAAAAGAGGATTTTAATAAGTTGAAAATCAGAATAGTGTAAATAATCAACTGGGAAGTTAAATATATTCAAAGTTCAGTACACATAAGGAGAAAGTTTACATATACCAATACAGCTCACATTAATGAATTTTTATGCTAGTACTGTATACTAATTTCTATTCCTAATGTTTTTTTTCAACCTACTACTATAAAAAAAACATCATGCATCAAGATTACCAGGTGTCCATAATATATTACTGTTCTACAGTCTTAATTATCAATGAAAAGATTCAAACTACCAATACAAAAGAATTAAACTTTACTCGATTACACAAGTCAGCTACTATCTGAATACAATAGCTAATTGGATAATGTGACGTTGTTTCAAAACAAACGTTACTGGGTTTGAGTTCCGCTATGAGTATCAACTGTGGATTACAGGTACATGGATATAACAAGTCTCAAATAGGACAAAACGTGAGTCCTCTGCCCCCTAACTGCTAGTCATCACTAAAGATTTCGCATATCGAAATAATGAAATATATATTTAAACAGACAAGCAAGAAAGAAGGAGAAAAGAACAACTTGAAACAAGCATACACAAAAAGCATTTTCCAATTAAATTTTATACAAACCTTTGTCCTACTGCAATTTTTCGTGCGGCAGCTCTAGCCGCTGCATTACTACCAAATAATCCATTGTTACTTTTACCAACTGTGGAGTCACGTGACTTGCTATCGCAACTACTACTATTCATACTTCCACTTACGGGAGTAGTAGTAGTAGGAGTAGTAGTGGTAGTGTTGTCATTATTATTAAGATTATTAATATTACTACTATTATCGGCTTCAACAATGCAACCAACTCCACTAATATTACTATTATTTAAAGGTGAATTCATTTCACCTTTAGGGCTGCCACTTATCGATTTCTGATGTTCAGGTTGGGTACGAAAACAATTTTTACAAACAGATTTACGCCATTGTTGTGGTTCAAAATTGAAACATTCTTTTTTAGTTTTGTTGGTAGTATTACTATTATTATTACTATTATTATTATTAGTTGATGTAAATAATCCTGCTGTTGTCGTAGAAGAACTCAATGATGACATAGATTGTGACTGAGGTTGTTGTTGTATTTGTGAAGGCAATGATGAACGTCGAAATAGTCCACTTTCAGATGACATGATCAATATTGGTAGACAATGTTGTTGTTGTGTGTTTGGTGTAGATGTGGTCGTAAGAGAACGAATAGTAGTACTAGTAGTAGTAGTAGTACTAGTAGTAGTAGTAGTAGTCTTTGTAGTTATAATAGTATTTAAAATTAATATAATTTAAATATATTACGAACAGATGATTATCAATGAGTATTTTATCCAATGAATAATAGATTGAGGAAGATCTTGACGAAATTCGAACACATTAGAAAGATATTAGTGTACAGATCTTCATCGTAGAAAAAACTGTGAAGCGTACTGAGGAATTAGGTAATTTGAATTGTCTTATTGACCTTGATAAATGAAATATCCTTGGTTAATAATAATAATAATAATAATGAAAATATTCCTATATGGCGATGATGATGATGAGGATGAGGATCAGGATGGTCATACCTGACTGTTGCATGTATTCTCTATCTTTCCATAAACGAAATGAAAATTACCAGTGTGTGTTTTTTGTAGTGTTTATCTAGCTAGATAATTTTACTTAAGTAATGGAGCTGTGTAGTTAGTTAGTTGGTATGTTTGAATAATAAGTTGGCAAACACACTGTAATTCTGTTTTACATTGATTGAATGAATTATTTACTGATTTTTGTGATAAATAACTTCTCTATTTATCATCATGAAGAAATGAAACCAAGAATGTGTACTTGTATATAACACTGAATGATCAAAATATATATAGATATATATAGAGAGAGGTAGATAGATGAAAACACACCGAGAGAGAGAGAGAGAGCAAATTAAGATTTTGCTTCGTAGTAGTTTTTCTTATGAAATTCGAATGTCAACATTCAGTGTTTGATATTTATTTAATGCCGCCACTAGATAGATGAAATCGAAAAATAGTCTGTTATAATACGAGACATTTCTTTCATATTAGAAATGACTAATATACACAATGTTTGAAAAATTGCTTTTTTCTTCCAAGTTTAGTATGCCCTATGCACAGTTGCTTGTGTGTTTCATTGCATATTTCTGTTACAACAACTACAACACCAATGTAGCACATGTAAAGACACACAAAATCCCTAATTCACATTGTGTTTAATGTCTTCTACAACCAAAAAGAAAATGATTGTCTCAAGAAGAGGACATGAAGTTGCACAGTTCAATCCTAATGGTTTTTTACCTTAGACTACTATCACAACTCCCGTCAACCTATCTGTCCGTTTTCGCTGTACGCGTGAATATCCCTATACACACAAAACACTAAGCACATTTATCTACTGTTTATCCAATCATTTTATGACTGACTATAGACACTTTTTAAAATTGATTCATTCATTCATTGAAGAATGTAACTGTTTACATGTAAAGCATTACATACATTGTACACTGTAACAAACAAACAGCGGACATCCTTAGTAAAATCCCTGATATGAAAAAAAGGGTATGATAGATATGTATGCAACCAGTGGTATTAATAGTCAGATAAATGATTTTTTTTTACAGTTAAGCAATGCAATTCAACACAATTTCATCCTAATTGCTACATGTTGTGTACAATAATAAACATCAGTCTACCACTATTGGTCTTTTCTTACATTATATTACCCAGTTCATGTGTTAAAAGGCGAAAAAAAAATAGAGTGAACAGTTTTTTCTAGACAGATGATACAAAAAAATGAGACTGATTTTAAGGTCATCATCAACTTAAGAATGAATTCAATTCTTTTTGATAGTTGATGTATTCTTCTATAAAAACCAAGTGATCAAAAGTTTTATAAACTACACAACTATTACCACTTATTGATCAATTCAAAACTTTTAACTGTAAAGTTTTTTTATATGTTTTCTCCCTAATCATCTGAAGATTATTTGCTTATTTTCAAGCACTGACCGAAAAAAGATTATTTTTTAAAAGAAAACTCCGCCTGTAGACCTTTCGGGGCCCTTTGCCGGTCCCAAACCCAGATAAAGGAGGAGGGTTCAGTTTGGATTTGGAGACGCCATCTCGCAAAAAACTAACTTGCCAAAAAAACGTTAACAAGAAAAAATAATTCAAACCATGTAATCGATACTCTGGGAGTTATGAAGTCTTCGTTTAGTAGAGTTATGACGTCTCGCAATGAAAGCCAAGTTCCTTCGGAAGTCACGAGGCCGATGCCGCTTCTGACAACCAGAACCCATTCACGGTTGTGGGCAGCCGGGAAATAGCATCCACCCTCATACCCATTTCCCAAAAAAATCTGTTAGACAGAGTTTTTATAGTGTTATAAAATAAACAGTTTTTTTTATGGAAGCAAACTTTTCATGTGATTTTTATAACTTACTTATCTCTATTGAATCAACAGGAAAAAAATCTTCATATCTTTTGAAACGTGTACTCTCTACTTAAACTAGTCAAATGAAATTCATGTAAAGAAGAATTAATTAAATCTGTATTTCGTCAGCGCAGCTCAGCGCAACGCGGTAGTTTACTGAGGTAAACTTATTCTTTTTGATTTAAGCATCCAGAATTTTTATTTGAGTTTGTTAAAATGGGTAGACCTGACTCCACAGGAAAGTTGTTAACTCCTCAATAGAAATACTGACTGTAAGTTCAGTCACTGCTATGGCTACTGTTTAACATCATCCGGAACAACTGCATTCCATACAACTTAGTCAAAAAATATTAACCATCACCGGTAGTGAAATCAAGTACAGAAACCAACAAACGGATCATACTGCATTGAAAAAAAGCATATTGGTATTTTCAGCTAGATTATTCGAGACATTTGGAATAGGTGAGGCACATAAACCAACAGAATCATTTCAGTCAATTCTATTTAAACTGAAGGACAAAAGAAGAGAAACCGAACATCGTCTACAAAATAAACGGTTTAAACTGCGCAAAATACTACATATAAGAAAGTGGACGTCCTTTTCGGCTTCGTCTACAAGAACATAAATTAGCAGTCAAACTCCAGGATATTTCTTCGCTTATATCGGCGGTACCTGTGAACAACTGTGTGAATAAATTTGATTAGAAAAGTATTAAAATGCTGGATAGATTGAGCACAAAGAACACTAGAGAATTTTTAGAAGCTTGATACTCAGGTCTATCAACAATCAACATACACATCGACATTGATCCAAACTATCAATTAATCCGAAAAATTATGGACAGACGTAGAATTAAAAAACAGATCAATGGAGAATGCAATCGAAGTACAGATGCAGACAACCATAGGTTAAAGGTCAATAACAACCTATCAAGATCGAGGTTAACAGGACAAGCTATGAGTCATACATGCAGAAATTCGAATACTTCATTTCTACTTGAAGTTTGGGTTGATGATTTTCTTCAGAAGAACAATAAAGATTCCACAACCAAAACATCTAGCTCGGAGAGCGAAACTTCTCTATGATCATTTAAAAGTAAGTATCTTTGGTAAGAATGTACATTTATTGGCCTTCAGTTCGTTACAAAATCATGAAGAATTTCCATAGCTGCTCCTTTTTTCCGAGACTGCTAAACATTCCGTGAAGAGTTAAATATCATCGTAACTTGAGGTCAGAAAACCTTATGAAAGAATACACACAGTCTACCCTGATTCAATTTTGTACATACAATCCTAATTTGGATAGCTTAATCAAGTTAATCAGTTAAGCTGTTTTACGAGTACTAACGAACAGAGTTACTGATAATGTCTGACAATCCATCTCAGGCTCTTTAAAGCAGTTGTACGAAGATTTAAATTACTTGTTTTCGTTTTCAGTGGTTACTACGTCTCTGAGTTTAATACAGCACTGGCTTTCAATACTTCTTGAATATAAACAGGAAGATATCAACCACAAGATTTACATAGAGTTGGTGTGGTCATCACTGAGATACACATTCCATCCGATTTGAAAGTCGTCAAACGTAGGTATCAACATTTCATTGTTGATGTTTAGGCCGTGCCACCATTAAGCTTTCCTTTGAAATGCTTATGATTGTCACTGATATCAAGGTAATCCTCTCAGAAAACAGGTAAACTGAAAGAGACAATCCTCAAAATCACCAAGAGGAATATGAAGAGAATTCAGAGAAGGAAATTTCGATTATTGAGGAAATCTCCTACTTGATCATTTATTTCTTATTTATAGTTGTTTGAGAAATCGATAAGTCTATAGAAAGATAGGAGGTCCGATATTCCAACTATCAAAAGTAAGTCACCTAATAATCTAGGTGTCAGAAAAAATAGAGGGGGAGAATAGTCTGAAGGTCAGATTAGTGATAGATGATTGTCCATTTAATAAATAAATGACAAGTAAATAAAAAAAGTAAAGGTCTTATTAATTACTAGAAATACCTATTCCGGTAGTGGACTCATCAGCAATGCGCACCCACTTCTCCTGTATCTCACAGGATTTGAACCCGAGGCCATGACCCTTGCGAGTGAACGCTCAACCTCTGGATTACTGAGCGAGCATCTGACAGTGTTAATGTTTAACTCCGATCAATCCATGATATTACATAACCTAATCCAATGTCTTCAGTTAGCATAGAATCGCATCCGAACAGCGTTGAACTAGACATCGGAGAAACTTCTACTTAGAGCTAGTCGCCAGTGAACACATGATAATGTGCATGAGAGGGTTGTGGCGATTGTTGAGTTACTTTTTAAAATCATGAATCGATCAATGTTGAACCACTTGTAGAAGTTGAGGATGCGCACTGCTGATGAGTCCCATTCCTGGACGAAATGGCTGTTCAGTGAATACATTGTTATCTTTGCATACTGATTAAATCATAAAAATATCTCTTTGTACTTGTGTTCTACCAAAATCCAGTCAATAGAATAATCCAAATGTTTTTAATAATTAGAATTATATTTTATTATTATTATTATTATTATTATTATTATTATTATCTTACCCATTAAGCAAACTGGTAGCTGTCTGAACTCATTAACTCAGTTGATAGTCATTTTGGTTATTTGCAACGAAAGTTTCCCAGTTCAAATGTCAATGTAAACATCAACACTTAGTTGTAGCAGATACATGTCTAGCTGATGAGTCCTTACTACTACGAACCAAATTACTGAGAATTGAGAAAAATCATTCAGAAATGACTTTTTTTTATT